GTGTTGGTGTTGGTGGTGTTGGTGTTGGTGTTGGTGGTGTTGGTGTTGGTGTTGGTGTTGGTGTTGGTGTTGGTGTTGGTGTTGGTGTTGGTGTTGGTGTTGGTGTTGGTGTTGGTGTTGGTGTTGGTGTTGGTGTTGGTGTTGGTGTCCACGTCCGCACGGTCTGTGTTACGCATCCATGTCCGCGCGATGAGAACGTCCGTGCGAATGGCCAGGGGGGCCTGTGCTTGTATGGTCTCGCCGAATCAAGATAAGGTGCGTGCAAGAATAAGATGAGCAGGGGGGTTGAGGGAACTGTGCCCTGGCAGTTTTTGGGGTTAGGGGGGTGGGCGTTTAGGGGTTCGGAGACGTCACACAACCACACGGGGAGCTTCGGGGGACGGGCGTTTAAGGAGCTTAGAGACGTCACTCAACCCCATGTATTATCATTACAGGTTTTACAGACAAGCGTGGGGGTTGGAGACTTTGCTGTGCTTGTATGACAGGTTTTGCAGACAAGCAGGGATTCGGCCTCTCTCACTGAAATGTAGGGCTACCGTGTTGACACGCTTGCAAAGACACCTGATGCAGATGACTCTGGGCATTGTGCCAAGGTCTTAGGCAAGCGAACTCGGGACTTGGAAGCGCAGCAGAGACAAATCCTGAAGAACCTCTGAGAGGTTTTTCGGAAGTTGCAACTGCTTCTGTGCGATCGGCTCGCAATAGACAAGAAGACTTAGAAGACACTTCTAGACAGCCACTCAAGAGGACACCAGCTAATTAATCAATAGTCAAAAGCAAGTTTCACCCAATTCAAGAGTTTGCATCACCATCGTGTATCACCACGCCAAGGTCTGGACAAGCAGTTGGGCCGTTGTGTAACCCTGTGCAAGACAGATTTTGATTCATCTGCAATACACATGTTTTACTTATGAGAAGTGTGCAGCTGGTGGCCTGGCCTTTGGCTTCGTAAATGATGCTCGCCCATGCAATGCATGCGGTCGATTGTGGTAACGCACGCAGCCGCCAGTTGGTGTGTAGACAGTTTCGATGAGCGCAAGCCCTCATTTCTGGCGTAGCTGTACGTTTTATGTGGAATGGTTCCAGTGTAAGAAAACAGCGCAGTCGGAGGAGAAGCGTGAACCTACCATGCTGCTGCGGCCAGCTCGTCTTGATGTCATTCGGCACTTGCTTGCTCGGCATCCTGTTGTCAAGGATACTGGCAGCCAGTGTAGGGAATTTGGTGGCATAATCAATCTGTGTACTTGCAGCTTGTAGGTATCTATTGCATTACAGAGCGAAGCCTGACACTGGAAGCGATGCAAGATGAAGTTGGCTCGGCAGCTTCGTCGGGACCTAAGTGGCTGGGAGGACAAAAGCCCTGAATCCCAACCTAGAAGCCTGAGCTGAAGCGTTCTGCCCGCATTCTGCCTGGCAAAACTTGCAGCTCACTTGGAAGACTGCCCCCCCCCCCCCCTCCGCCCCCACATGACGAAAGCTGGCGACTGCAATGTGGTGGGCATCGTCTGCACGGGGCTAGGGAACCCGTGTTTTTTTTTTTTTTTGTTGTTGCGGTTTTTTTGTTAAGGCGACCCAAAGCCGGCCGCCCGCCCTCCACAGCAAAAAAAAAAAACGCGCCCGGCCTCCGGAGCAAAAAAAAAAAACGCGCCCGGCCTCCACAGCAAAAAAAAACGCGCCCGGCCTCCACAGCAAAAAAAAAAGGCGCCCTGGCGAGGGAGGAGTACGCAGCCAGGGCAGACCAACAAGTGTGTGAGTGAGCCCGCCCTCCACAGCAAAAAAAAAAAACGCGCCCGGCCTCCACAGCAAAAAAAAACGCGGCCGGCCTCCACAGCAAAAAGAAGCGCGCCCGGCCTCCACAGCAAAAAAAAAGGCGCCCTGGCGAGGGAGGAGTACGCAGCCAGGGCAGACCAACAAGTGAGTGAGTGAGCCCGCGCCTCCACAGCAAAAACAAAAACGCGCCCGGCCTCCACAGCAAAAAAAAGACGCGCCCGGCCTCCACAGCAAAAAAAAAACGCGCCCTGGCGAGGGAGGAGTACGCAGCCAGGGCAGACCAACAAGTGAGTGATGAGCCCGCGCCTCGGAGCAAAAAAAAAAAACGCGCCCGGCCTCCACAGCAAAAAAAAAAACGCGCCCGGCCTGCACAGCAAAAAACAAGCGCCCTGGCGAGGGAGGAGTACGCAGCCAGGGCAGACCAACAAGTGAGTGAGCCATGCAGGCGTGCTGCAAAACATATGAATCTTGTTGAAACCCGTCATGCGAGCCGTGTGTTTAAATGGGGGGGCGGCGCTCCCCCCAACCCCCCCGCTGCCTCTTGTTGAAACCCATCGTACGAGCATTGTGTTTGCAAATGGGGGGGGCTGCGCCCCCCCCAACCCCCCGCTGTTTATTTTTAGCCGTGCAAACGTGCTGCAAAACAACAGAATCTTGTTGAAACCCGTCGTGCGAGCCGTGTGTTTGCAAATGGGGGGGGCTGTGCCCCCCAGCCCCCCGCTTTTTTTTTTTAGCCGTGCAAGCGTGCTGCAAAGCATATGAATCTTGTTGAAACCCGTCGTGCGAGTCGTGTGTTTGCAAATGGGGGGGGGCTGCGCCCCCCCCCAACCCCCCGCTGTTTTTTTTAGCCATGCAGGCGTGCTGCAAAACATATGAATCTTGTTGAAGCCCGTCGTGCGAGTCGTGTGTTTGCAAATGGGGGGGCTGTGCGCCCCCCCCAACCCCCCGCTGTTTATTTTTAGCCATGCAGGCGTGCTGCAAAACATATGAATCTTGTTGAAACCCGTCATGCGAGCCGTCTGTTTGCAAATGGGGGGGGCTGCGCCCCCCCCAACTCCCCCGCTGCCTCTTGTTGAAACCCATCGTACGAGCATTGTGTTTGCAAATGGGGGGGGCTGCGCCCCCCCCAACCCCCCCGCTGTTTATTTTTAGCCGTGCAAAGCATGCTGCAAAACAACAGAATCTTGTTGAAACCCGTCGTGCGAGCCGTGTGTTTGCAAATGGGGGGGGGCTGCGCCCCCCCCAACCCCCCCGCTGCGTTGTTTTTTTTCTCGCAAGGCCTCCACAGCAAATAAAATGTGCAAGGCCTCCACAGCACAGAAAAAAAGCGCAAGGCCTGCACAGCAAAAAAAATGTGCAAGGCCTCCACAGCAAAGAAACACAAGGCCCCTACAGCAAAAAAAACCCACAAGGCCCCTACAGCAAAAAAAAACGCAAGGCCTCCACAGCAAAAAAACGCACAAGGCCTCCACAGCCAAAAAAACAACGCGCAAGGCCTCCACAGCAAAAAAAAACGCGCAAGGCCTCCACAGCAAAAACAAAAAGGCACAAGGCCTCCACAGCAAAAAAACAAACGCACAAGGCCCCCACAGCAAAAAAACGCAGAAGGCCCCCAGAGCAAAAAAACCGGCACAGCAAAAAAAAGGAAAAAGCCTCCACAGTGTCAGCAAAGAAAAAAACGCGCAAGGCCTCCACAGCAAAAAAATAAACGCACAAGGCCTCCACAGCAAAAAAAAAAACGCACAAGGCCCCACAGCAAAAAAGCCGGCACAGCAAAAAAAAAAAACACCTCCACAGCAAAACAAAAACGCGCAAGGCCTCCACAGCAAAAAAAAACACAAGGCCTCCACAGCAAAAAAAAAAAACGCACAAGGCCCCCACAGCAAAAAAAAACGCGGAAGGCCCCCAGAGCAAAAATGCCGGCACAGCAAAAAAAAAACACTCTTACCACGGGGCTAGTGGTACCAGTAGCGTGAATTGTCAGCACACTGTCAGATGCAAAAGTAGAGGAGGCCAGATCTCCGCGGCTGATGTGTGATTTGAGCCCTGATATCGCATCCCAGGCTAATCGCATTGTGCAAGCTCTGTAGGATGCCAAGCAGAAGAAGAAGTGGACCGTCCTCCGTGACAGGCCCGCCGTGTCAGGCATATGCAGATTCAATGTGCGTTGCCTCATGGGCGCCTCACTTGCGAACTCGCCCTCGGCGCTTTCTCTCTGCGTGCTTCACTTGGGTCCCCCACCCCAACCTTCGAAGCAGTGGCTGGCACTACAGCGCCCTACAGTCCAAGAAGTGAGAGGCAACCCAAGCTCCCACGAAAGTGGCGCAGCCTAGATGTTAAATCGGAGTTGCCAAACCTGATGACCGACTATGTCCTGGCTGGCTGCCTGGCTGACTGCAATCTCACCAAGAGAAGGAAGTAGAAAGTGAGTGTGGTCAAGAGATGTCAAGAGCAGGGGTGCTTCTTGGCAAGAGTGTGCAATACCAGTGCACCACATTCAAGAAAGGCGCATTCTGCATGTCTTGGCAGGCTATCGGACACTTGGAAAGCAGTGCGCCCACGTGTGTTAGTGGCATTGTCACTTTCAACTTGTTTTGACGGTCAACAAAGTCTTGCCGTTTCTGATGGATATGCTGCCCGGCTGCCGATCAGATGTGACAGCTCTGTGCCAGTTGAACCATGGTGGCAAGCTTGAGAAGCAGTTCCGCCACACACTCAGTCCTCATTGGTGGAATCTGCTGGCCTGTGTCCATCTGTCGTTATGTGTGTTGGATTCGTGTCGCCTCCATCCTCTGAGGTGCATGCGTGCCAGGGCTCTACTCTCGGCTGCTAAAACGGCGAAGGTGGAGCAGCACGAGAAAGCAAAGGACGACATGGTGGAGATCTTTGTCTTCTTTCCTCTCGGCGACACTTCTGCAGTGAGGAAAGCTGTGGCTCCAACACGTGGCCAGGTGCTTGCAAAACAGATGAAGGTCAAGATGCAAGACTCGACCATTGTGTGCCCGACTCGTCTTGCACGGGGGATGCAACGAAAGAGAAGATTGCCAATCTCTACTGCTAGAAATGTAAATCCTCCCGCCCACTCTTTTGACAGCACATGGGTTTGCTCGACCCCTTCCACTTTTCATGAGGTCCGGAAGAGCTTTGTCCTCATAATCACATCTGAAGTTGTTGGAGTGACCTTTGAAGCTCAAGCTCGGTAGTCCGGTACCCATCTGCCCAACCGCGACATGGAGGCGGAGAAGCTGCTGGACGTGGAAAGCGCGGAAAGCCAGGGACCAGCAGCTCGCCGACCATGGATGCCTCGACTGGCCACATGTGTGGCCGCATTGGCTACAATGGCTACTCTTGCCTTTGTCCTTTATCTTGGAGCCCAGCATGGCACGGTTTCAGGGGACGTGCAGCGGCTGCAGCGTAAGTGGTGGACTCCTTGGCAGAAGCCTGCGGACGTGGTGCTGGGCATTGACATGGGGACCAGTGGCAGCTATATGGCCGTCTACAAGGATGAGAAGGTTGAAATCATCAAAAACAACGACAAGCCATTGACGCCGAGCTATGTGAGCTTTGCCGGCAAGGACCCGCTCGTCGGCGAGGCCGCAAGGGACAAGGTCAAGGAATCTCCAACACAGAGCCTGTACAACGTGAAGCGCTTGATGGGTCGTGACTTCAATGATGCGGAGGTGCAGAAAATGATCAAGTTCTTGCCGTACAAGATCGTGGAGAAGTCCGGCAAGCCCATGATCAGCGTCAACGACAAGCTCTGGACACCTGAGGACGTGTCCTCCTTGCTCCTCGCAGATATGAGGGCGGCGGCTGGGAGCCAGCTGAACCAGGAGGTGAAAAAGGCCGTGATCACCGTGCCTGGCTACAGCAATGATGCTCAACGCCGGTCCATGATGGCTGCCGCCAAGAAGGCGGGCTTCACCGACGTCGAGCTAATCAACAAGGGCACGGCGGACGCCCTCGACTACGCTTTCAGATTTGCACGAGATGAGATGAAGATAATCTTGGTTTATGACCTTGGTGGAGGCTTCTTCGATGCTACCCTGGCCGAGTGGAGTGGAGACGGCTTCCTTGAGGTTTTGGGCACAGCCGGAGACACCACTCTGGGGGGAGAGGACTTCACTGATTTGACTACCCAGGATCTGCTGGCGAAGTTCAAACACAAACATGGCAAGGACATGGACCCGGGCTCCGCCCAGACATTGCGCATCAAGGTTGCGGAGGCCATCCAGGCATTGAGCTCCAGCAAGGAGGTGCAAATCCAGATGGACGTGGACGGTGCGGACTTCAAGGAGACCCTCACGCGTGAGAAGTTTGAGGCGCTCAACATTGCGAGTTTCCAAAACACCTTAGAGTCCATCGACAAGGTCCTAGAGCATTCCGGTAGGCCCAGGAGTGACGTGGATGAGATCGTGTTGGCGGGCAGCTCCAGTCACATCCCCAAGGTGGAGCAGCTTGTGAAAGACTACTTCCACAAGGAGCCGAAGATGGCGTCTCCCTTTGCGGCGCGAGCCGCAGGGGCAGCGATCATGGGCACCCTCAAGGGCAACAGTGACATGCTGGTCCTTGATGTGATGCCCCTGACGGTGGGCGTCCAGGAAGTGGGAGGGACTATGATGAGATTGATTGAGCGCAGCTCAACGATCCCGATAAAGAAAAGTGAAACTTGGACGACCTCCAGCGACAACCAGCCGAAAGTGACCATCAAGGTTTACGAAGGGGAGCGGGCGCTGGCCAAAGACAACCACTGCCTGGCTGAGTTCGACGTGACGGGCATCCCACCACAACCGCGCGGCAAGCCGCAGATCGAGGTCGAATTCGCGATGGACAAGAATGCCATCCTGACGGCTTCAGCAAAAGACAAGGTCACGAAGAAGAAGTTCGACATTGTCAGGAGGGGTTGCATGAAATGAGAGCCGCTTGAGAGCCATAATGGTTCATCGACACAGGCGTTTAACTGGATGTTGAAGTGCCGGGGCGCTCTGGGAGGGATTCCCCAGCAGCCCTCCCTCGGCATCCGATATCCCTCTGACGCGCCAGAGTGTCTGCACTGCGCCGTCAACGGCCCCCCCCCCATTTTGTTCATGCTGTTGACGGCACCTTACAGAACTTTCAAGCACTTTCAAAGGCAGCTGGCTCGGACAACGCTCCCGCAGCCACAAGCAACAGCCAGGACGCTGGGAAAAAAGAGCAGGAGCTGAAGCTCATGAATGGGGGAGCTTGCGGCTGCCGTTCTGACAAGAATCGAGGGTTCAGGAATCCAGGGTTCCACAGGCGCACTTCGCATCACCTCTGTACGGCTTAAACTGGTACTTCGCTCTTCGCAGCGCTTCGCTCAGCCCCTGTGCAACCCATTTTGTAGCTCCTCTTCCTTTAGATCCTCTAATGGTAAGAAGTATCTTTGTTGGGCTTCTCCTTTGCTGGCTTTCCAGTCTGTCTCTTCTTTCTCTCAGCTGTGCCAGGCCCTGGGCCCCGCGGGAGCTCGACCTGGGGCCGCCAGCCGAAGCGGCAGCTGGCTACCGTCGCCATAGAGGAAAAAAGAATGGGCAAGACAAGTTTTCAACATCACATACGTCGAAATGGTGCTGCATAGCTGATTCTCTCGCACTCACTCCCTCTCGCTCTCTCTCTCTGGCTTTCAGAGCTTTCTCTCAGCCTTTCCGTCGAAAGCGCACAGGACAAGGTGGAGTCCGACAGCGAGGGCTCGGAGCCGGATCTCGGCCCACTTCGCACGATGGACCGATGCGATGCGCATGCGAGAGATCGTCTTTCTCTGTTAAGAAAGCAGCCCCCCTCGAACCATTTTAGAGACTATGGGTACTTAGAACTTACTAGAGTGTATGAGAATTGACGGATATTTGCCCGCTCTCCTAATTTGTCAGCCAGCTTCTTCGATCTGATCGAAGTGGCTCGTCTAGGATCAGCTTCGAGATCAGTCCGGAGACATGAACGATTTCATGCAGTCCAGGGCTGAGATGACTGAGTGGGAGATAGGTCCTTCTGCTTCGCGGCTTTTGCCAGCGCTCAGAAGGGGCAGCCAATATATCCACTGTGTGACTAGGACGTTTGCCAGCACCGGATCCTTCTACATGCTCAAAGTCGGAGCCTTGCTGTGCCACTCTTTCTCTGCGCTCTTCCACTGCTGTCTAAGGATGCAGGCATGACCGATGGCCAGGAAGATCTCAAAGACGACGCTGTGGATCTTGTGATCGATGTTCTTGGACTCAGTGACTGATCGAGATGCGCGCAGGGACACCGAGATAGTGCGCAGGGTTCAAGAGGCAGACGCGGTGTTCGGCATGAGGCGACCCGACACATCGCCAACGGAATTGTGGAGTCTAGACCTTGCTTGTTACATTCACCTTGTTTTTGTTGCACAGTTTCGATGTCGAGCCCCTTAAGGAGGCTCTTCTAGCGAGCATCCACATCCTACTGCTGCCGAGGCGGACTCGCGGTGCCCGTGGTGTCCTTCTGCATGAGATGCAAGAGTCCATGGAGGCCCCCAGTTTGGTCGCAGTTTATTGGCATATTGGCAAGTAGTGGCAGTTGTAGCATCCTTGGCCTGAACTGTCTTCGCGACCAAGCAGCCAAGACTATGGACAAACATGTGGAAAGCACAAGCTTTTGACGGTCGAGGCGTTCGTGGAGGAAATGTCATGCATGTGCACCACATTCTGCGAGGTCCTGAACAACGTCTCAACGGTGCTTGAGGCAGTCTTGATGGTTTTGCAGATTCTGAAATGTAGGGCTACCGTGTTGACACGCTTGCAAAGACACCTGATGCAGATGACTCTGGGCATCGTGCCAAGGTCTTGGGCAAGCGAACTAGGGACCTGGAAGCGCAGCAGAGACAAATCCTGAAGAACCTCTGAGAGGTTTCTCCGAAGTTGCAACTGCTTCTGTGCGATCGGCTCGCAATAGACAAGAAGACTTAGAAGACACTTCTGGACAGCCACTCAAGGACACCAGCTAATTAATCAATAGTCAAAAGCAAGTTTCACCCAATTCAAGAATTTGCATCACCATCGTGTATCACCACGCCAAGGTCTGGACAAGCAGTTGGGCCGTTGTGTAACCCTGTGCAAGACAGATTTTGATTCATCTGCAATGCACATGTTGTACTTATGAGAAGTGTGCAGCTGGTGGCCTGGCCTCTGGCTTCGTAAATGATGCTCGCCCATGCAATGCATGCGGTCGATTGTGGTAACGCACGCAGCCGCCAGTTGGTGTGTAGACAGGTTAGATGAGCGCAAGCCCTCATTTCTGGCGTAGCTGTACGTTTCATGTGGAATGGTTCCAGTGCAAGAAAACAGCGCAGTCGGAGGAGAAGCGTGAACCTACCATGCTGCTGCGTCCAGCGCGTCTTGATGTCATTCGGCACTTGCTTGCTCGGCATCCTGTTGTCAAGGATGCTGGCAGCCAGTGTAGGGAATTTGGTGGCATAATCAATCTGTGTACTTGCAGCTTGTAGGTATCTATTGCATTACACCTGACACTGGAAGCGATGCAAGATGAAGTTGGCTCGGCAGCTTCGTCGGGACCTAAGTGGCTGGGAGGACAAAAGCCCTGAATCCCAACCTAAAAGCCTGAGCTGCAGCGTTCTGCCCTCATTCTGTCTGGCAAAACTTGCAGCTCACTTGGAAAACTGCCCCCCCCCCCCCCCCCCCCGCCCCCACATGACGAAAGCTGGCGACTGCAATGTGGAGGGCATCGTCTGCACGGGGCTAGTGGTACCAGTAGCGTGAACGCATCGCAGTAGATGGCTTCTTGCATCCGGGAGGAGGGGGGGATTCCCCGCTCAACAGCGGGTATCGGAAAGCATTAGCATCGACTTGAGTAGGTTTCCATGTGAATGACTCCACATGCTTCACTGCTCAGATGTTGATTTTTCTTAAGAAGCTCCCGTATATCCGGCATGCCATTTTCAGCGTAGACCTTCGGGGTCCTTTGCCTAGTTTGACTTGTCGTTCTCAGTCCGACGGGCGTTGCTCTCCTGCAGCTTCACACATAACATTAGCAGATTACACGACACTCCGACACGGCTCAGGTCTTGCACCTCACTGGACAGCTCGCACTTGCTGTGAGCTCACGACTAGTGCAAGATGAAGTGCAAGATGAAGTGCAACAAGGGGTTCTTTTCTGGGATGGTGGTTTTGGTTCGCATTGCAGCAAACATGAAGTTGTGGGAAGAGTCAAGGCCGCATGTTGTGACAGTCATAGTAACCTGCTTTGGCTTCACCGTCCGGGCTGCAGGACGGAGGTAGAGGTCTGCTCGGACAATTGCCCCGTTGAGCTGGCAACAAGCTGAGTTCACTCTTTCGTAGTTGGCTGTCAGTGTTTGCCCCCCAAGCGTTGGGAGCTGACAGAGAGAGGTCCTCTCCCCCGGTGTTGGAGCCGCGCCGGACTCAGTCAGTACCGCGGCGGTTGACGCACAGGTGCTCTGTCATTACACCGAGAAGAGTGCGTTCGCCTCCGGGTTCGGCAGCGTTTCGTAGTGTTTCGTTGCAGCATCTCGCCGCGTTCCAGTGGCAAGTCATCTGACTGAAGTGGTCCGCAGTTGTGAATGAGCCGTCTGCTTAGATTCAGGAAGGTGGACATATAGTGGACGCACAAACAGCACTAGTCGTCCATGCGCTCAAAGCTACAGTTCTTCCCAAAACGGCTGCAAACCTTTGCATTCCTCTAGACAGTGGGAACCATGGGCCAAAGCTGTTGCTGCGGCCGCGAGAAAGCCGAGCCGTCTTTCGAAACGTGCTCGAAGTTTGCGGTGATGCCGCCAACGGCAGGCGCATAGTCTGCAGAAGCAATGCGCTCACAAGTTTTTAGTTGCTTTCGAGAGCTGGGCCTGAAAAGAACTCTAAGCTGACGACTGAGATGTTCTTAAGCCTTGTCTCGAAAGGGATATGTGTGTGTGTTGACGATGATTGCGACGTCTCCGGCTCAGGTCAAACCTGTCAGCAGGCAGCGTTTGACCCGCACAACGAGAAATTCGAGCTCATCGCGGAGACTGACCTATTGCCGAGCGATTGCATCACCAACGGTGACACGCAACTGCCAGCCGGCCAATCATGCGGGACCCATACCCGCCCGTTTGAGGAGTGCACGTGCAAGGGCACGTGATGCTGCGCGTGTTTTTTTTTCTATATATTTGTTTGTGTGTGTGTGTGTGTGTGTGGGTGTGTGGGTGTGTGCGTGTGTGTGCGCGTGTGTGTGTGTGTGTGTGTGTGTGTGTGTGTGTGTGTGTGTGTGTGTGTGTGTGTGTGTGTGTGTGTGTGTGTGTGTGTGTGTGTGTGTGTGTGTGTGTGTGTGTGTGTGTGTGTGTGTGTGTGTGTGTGTGTGTGTGTGTGTGTGTGTGTGTGTGTGTGTGTGTGTGTGTGTGTGTGTGTGTGTGTGTGTGTGTGTGTGTGTGTGTGTGTGTGTGTGTGTGTGTGTGTGTGTTTGTGTGTGTGTTTGTGTGTGTGTGTGTATGTGTATGTGTGTGTGTGTGTGTGTGGGTGGGTGGGTGGGTGTGCGTGCGTGTGTGTACGTGCGTGTGTTTGGGCGTGTGTTTGTGGGTGTGCGTGTGTGTGTCTCTCTCTGTGTTGGTGTGTCTGTCTCTGTGTGTGTGTGTGTGTGTGCGTGCGTGTGTCTGTGTGTGTGTGTGTGTGTGTGTGTGTGTGTGTGTTTGTGTGTGTGTTTCCTAGTCCTAGTGTTCTTGTCCCGTCTTGCAACCTTTGGCCATGCACTCGTGAACCTCGACATCAAGTCCCTTGACGTACTAGATGGCCTACAGGCATACAGAGTCATACGCGGATGTATTCGCACCAATCAGTACACGAAGTGCACGCAATGGCAACCTTGAAGGACCCTCCCCCCCTCCAACCCGTGCGGTGTTGGGAGGAGATCCAAACGACGGACGAGAAGCGAAATGCGACGAGATTCGACAGGCGTTGGGAAACGACCAATTCAGAGGATCCCGAGGAGCGCAAGGAGTACCGGCTGCGCAAAGCCGCAGAGGTGCGAGGCTGGACCTGGGGTCTCTGCAGAAACAGTTGCTTTGTGCAATCAGTTCTTTGATCGAGGGTTCACGGTGACTCTGGTGACGACCGGAGCGTTTTGTTTGTACGGGCCCGTGGACCAAAAGTCACATTCGGGGGACGAAAGGGCCAAAGCACGCACTAGGAATACATGGCCGTGTTCTATAGCAATACAGTAGCCTTCTCCTGCGAAAGCACTTCCCAAAGACCGACAGTGACCCTTTGCAGCGGTTTCCCAATGTCCTCGTCTCTTGACAGCCCCCAAATCTTCCAGTTGCAGGCATCATGCAAGCAGCCATGGCGGCCGCTGAGAATGCCGGCAGCTCCGCATCTGCGGAGTGACGGGCTGTGAGTGTTTCTTCGCTCGGGAGTCTTCAGATGAGCATAGGGGTTTGTGGACCTACAGCTTGACACCTCCTGAATCCTGACTCAGTATCACCGGTTCATTGGGCAGTCCTGGCACCTACTCTTTTGGAGACCCGAAGGAAAGAATACTTCATTTGCGTCTCTCTCACGTGGTTCATGGCAAAACTCCCAATTGTGACAAATTCCAAATTCTTGCGCAATCCTCATGGTAGTACCTTCAAAAGACTGCAGAGCGAGGAGAATGCTTTCTCAAATTTTTCGAGGATGCAGCAACATTTGAAGAGCTGCAACAAAACAAAAACTGGTGCCGTCTGCATCGGCTGCTGGTATGGCCGCTGGTGTCACTCGCCATCATCACCTCGGAGGGGTGTCTGAAGAAAAGGATCCCAAGATCGAAGGTGCGGGCAGAGCGGATGCAAGTGAGCCTTTGCAGCGGGGTTGAACGTTAAGGCTGGGGTGTCGAGTTTAAGGTTGAGGGTCGGGCTGATCAAGGTTGAGAGTTTCAGGTGCTGGCTAAGTAGAGGAGGTGCAAACCTCTGCGTTCCCGTGCTCGAGCACTTGCCATAAATTGCAGGGCGTGAAATTTGAATTGCTCTGCAGTGTTGCATGTTTTGCGTCTTGTGTCCGCGCATTTGTTTCTGAGGTTCTCCAGGGAGGCGTCAGCAGCGCCCAGCCCGTGTGGCCCTCGTGGAATCTGGGAAGAGAAGGGCAAGGGTTCAGAGCCGCAGAGCAGAGAGGGAGGCAGAGCAGCAGAGTCAAGAGATGGCGGAGAGTTCTTTCCGAGTTCTTTCCGAGTTCTTTCCATGTCTCGCTGTGAGGTCAAAGCCGGCACCTGGCCTCTTGGTTCTCTTTCCACGGATCAGCAATGTGCCCCCCCCCGGCCACACAATGAAAGCAAAGCAGCAAACAGAGAGAACGGAGAGTTGAAAGCAGCAGTTTAGAGAAGAGCTCTGCAAGTCTCACTCGTTGCAAGTCCTGTGCCCTCAGGTGCAGACTTCTACCCGGCATCGCCGCTTCGATCGGTGGCTGCCAACTCAGCACTTTGCCCGTGATTTGGCGCTGCAAGAAGATTTGGCGGAAACACCATGTTCCCAATGGAATGACTGGCAATGACGTTTTTTAATGGCTTGTAAGCCTGAGCGGCCTCAGCAGGCTTGGCAGCTATGCCAGGATATTCTAGGGCTCCAGGGCTCCCTGCAGCGCTGGGACTGGCATCGCTCGGCTTGCACTCAGATACTCGCTGCCCCTGAACGCCCAGACAGAGAGGATCTCCCGAAATATGCCCGAACCTTGGGGCAGCCTTTCTTTTTTGCGTTTCTGAGACCGCTCTTGTGGGTACTTGCCTTTGCCTTTTCGTTGTAGAGTCTTGCGGTGCAAGGACCGAGCCGCTTTGCTGGATGTGGTCGGCGGCAAGGCCATGATCTTGCTTCGCTTGCTTCACAGGGCTCAGGGTCTTCAGGGTGCGCCTCAGCCCAGGTCACGCTGACCCAGGGCGATGGAGTTGTTGCGTGGGGCCTCAGGGACAGGCATCCGGCATCATCCGCATGGGAGGTCTTTCAACATCTTGCCTTGAACCATTGTTTTCGTCCCAGGCTCGATTGCAACTAGGAGGTGTGGCGTGGCTGACCACGCCCCTGCGGAGGTGGGGACTTCACTGTACTGAGGATTGTGCTGTGGGCGTCTTGTGTAGGTGCCTTTTCATGGATCTTTGGCCAGGCTGCCTCTGGACCCAGACATCATGGGTCAAGATTCTCAAATTGGCTACAGAAGGTGGGAAGTCCACAAGCTCCTGCATCTCCGTCTTTAGTCCGACATCCTTAGTTTGGTGCAGGTCAGGCAACTTGGTGTTCCTCGATGGTGTGCTTCCCAAAATCAACTACTCGCAGGCGGCTGGAGAGCACCACATGTGAAATGTGTGAAGAGGTGGTGGGGTTGTGGGGCTCCCTGTGCCGCGAATCTGGAGAGGAGGACACCGTGATCTGTGCACTTCCTCAGGGCTGTTGGGGCTCAGGCTGAGTGGAAGTTGATCCGGCTGTTACACAAGCTGTATCGATAAGGCCAACCGAAGGGAGGCCGACGATGGTATCTGTCGGTCTGCTTCGAACAAGGCCGGACAGAGTGCGGTTCCCATGGTGGTGACGTCTGCTGAGTCTACTGTAGCACCCGAGACAGGCTACATATGCTTCCTTCGATTCTTCCTGGATTCGGCCGGCTTTCTTTCGGCATGTCGGAGCCACCTGCAGGCTGTGTGGATCCTTGCGCGTCCTTGCATTTGCTAATGCTGCTGGAACTTGTATCTGCGTATGTGTGTGTTTATATTTTTCTAAAAAAAAGGTGTCAGAGCCCCTCCCTTCCGTCTGGCTCGCGTTCCGAAAGCTCGCTGTGTGCAGGGCCGTGCTCGCGATGGACATTCCTACACTGCCCGGAGGCTCAGTCTCTTGAGCACCAAGGAGCCGCCGCGCGAGAAAGCTACAAGCCAATTTCTCAGCCAATCGCTGAAGGTCCAGCAACGCAACCTTGGCGCTGTGGCGGCGTCTCTTTCGCAGGAATCTTGGGCCAGGCATCTGTGCCCTGACATAGTGACAATTAGTGACATTTTTGACCAGACTGAGGTCCGTGCGCTTCCTCCTGACGTCAAGGGCTGAGCTTCCACAGTATCCATACATGCTGGAAAAGAAAGGCGAAGGTACAGTGCAAAAGGCAGACAGGGCAAGAGATGGAGGGCTTCTTCGTGGCTCCACCGTTGCTGAAGGCCTGGGACGCCGCTAGAGCTGCTAGCAGGTGCGAAGCCACCTAAGCAGTCGAAGCCCGAGTGCTTTTGCCTCTGAGCCAATGTCGTTGAACATCGTTGAGCATCTCTTGAGTATTGGGATGACTTTGCTGCCTGTGTGACTCTGGCAAAAGGCATGCAGCACGGAAGCATCTGGCCTACTTGGGTCTCCAGGACGGCCCTGGTCTGGTTAACCGAAAGGCTCACGACGCTTACGTGTGGGGAAGCTGCCCAGACGAGTATTGTGAGAGGACGGCTTGGCACCAGCTGCGCATGGAGAGAATGGTGCAGGCTCTGGCGATTGGCCTTGCAAACGATGAATGGCTACTCCATGAACTGACGTGAAACTGCGCGTAGCTGCGCCCTATGAGCCTTGACACGCTTCAGCCCCAAAGTTGGTGAGGGGTCGCCGACGAGCTGGACGGGTTCCAGGCTTCGTGCGCACCACTGCGGGCCACTGTGTTTGGATGACTTACGGATGCCTCCGGAACTCTGCAGATGTCCACGGATGTCTCTTCTGTATTCCACCATGTTCAAGAACCTTCATTCGAGCACTCTTGAGACGCGTCCGACCTGGCTCCGCAGCCCTTTTAAAGCGCAGGCTTCCTAGATGAACAGAGCCAGTGCATGAACTTATCGTAGCCTTTCTCCCCTCGATAGGCTGTTTTTGACTCAGCAGTTTCCGCGACAACATCCCAGCCCAAGCCACAACAGAAGCACAACCGGCGAGATGTGATGTAGCGGATTATGTTGCGCTGGTAACGCTTCACAGGCTGCTCGACATGCAGCCTCGTGCGTTCCAGCCGTTGATAACGGGCACGTGTGTAAATCTGTTCGCTGTCCTCCAAACCTCTTTGAGGCATGCCGTGGTAACGGCAATGGCCGAAGATGCTGGGAGCCAGTGCACCGACCTGTCTGGCGTGCGGCCATCAGGCAGGGGACTGCTGTAGTGCAACCGGAGTGAATGTAGGGCGTGAAAGTCTCGCTTGTGTGAGCTGAGCCCAGCAGGGTCACTTGCATGGCACTTACGGTGTGCCAGGCACTCACGGGTTTCCAAGCAGTCGGTGTGAGCCTGAGACGTAGCATCGCACAAGCTGTCAAAGAACACAAATGCGAGACTTTGTGTCCTCAGCGTGCTGTTTCATGGTGTGGCCAAGTGCCCTGCGCGAAGAAAGGATCGGCCAAAGTCAGCTGGAATCGCTGCCTATTTTTTCTCATCGCGAGGCCTCAAGGGCTCAACGGCTCAACGGCTCTCGGTTCCCGATGCTGTCGTGAAACCTTCTGATTCGAGCATCATCCTTCTACATGGCTAAAATGAACTTTCAGTGCCCCCCACAGCACTGAAAGGTTTGGCCAGTGTATCCAGGCAAATGCCCTCTGCAGTTGTTGAGTAAACGTAAAGGACGTCGACCGCCTCGGCCTGGCCCGGGTAATTCTAGAAAACCCGTTGCAGGCTTTCGCCCACAGAATTATTGGGCTTTTGTGGGCTTGGGCTGGTAAGAAGCCCTTGAAAGTTCCCACGGCCGCAGAGAATTTGAGTTGGCTGGAAGTGGCTGAAGAAGTCTTGGAGATTGATCCTTGTGACTCATCTCGGTGCTGTGGTGGAGGCCATCTTGGAGCACGTGCGCACGCACCGCGTGACGCACATTCAGGGCGAGACGGGATGTGGAAAAAGCACCCAGGCGCGGCAACGGACAGCGCAAGGACAGTGCATCAGACGGCTCCCGAGCGGGAGCTGGCGTGTCAGGTGCCGAAGTATGTGATGGAGGATGCTGTGAAGAACGGGGAGGACCCAAAAATAGTGGTGACGCAGCTGGGCGCTCGGGAAGTGGGCGCGAGCCGCCCATCATTGGCTGCATGTCGCAGAGTGCCCAGGGGTGTGTTCGCTTCAAGGCCTCGGCGAATGGCGGCGGTCAGCCTGGCCCGCCGCTGCGCTGCTGAGCTCGGCGAGGCCGTTCTTGGGAGCGCATTCTTCCTTGCGTGCGCGTGCGTGCACCGCCGGGAGGGCGGGGGGCTTCGGCTTCGCACAATGTTCTTGGGGCACAATGTTCTTGGAACGATGTCGGCTTCTCTGGTGCTTTGCTGTCAAGGAGCTGGGGAAGACCGTTGGATACAAGATCAGCAGCGCGGTCTTATAGTAGCGCTAGTGGACTGTCACTAGCGCTTAGGATGTGCTAAGCTCTGCGTAGACTTCGCTTGGCTGTACAGTCTCCTGCAGTGGAAGACTGATCTTTAAGTTCGCACGTGCTGAGGTGGTGACTCTGTCAGCGGGAAGCTTTGCTTTGCGACAACAGGCTTCCTCCTGCAGGTTCTCGTCAACCAGCCGGAGGAGTCCCTGGACTGAGCGAACACCTTCAATTACAGCTTAAACTCAGATGTAAACCTTTTGTGTAGCAGAGTAGCATGAGAGTCCATTTTCATGATGCGCTTTGCAACGAAATCGTGCTCGGAGCAAGGTTTGGCACCTACAGCCACATCATTCTTGACGAAGTGCACGAGCGAAGTGTTGATGCAGACTTGCTGACAATGTTGTGGCTAGGCCTGTTTTGAAAGGTTGGCATACCACATGTTTCTGGGCTGCACTCGTGCGCAAAAGCAGATCTGGCCATGTAAGGCTTAGACTGCTCATGCAGTGCTACGTCAAGGTCTGTGGGAGGGCGGATGTTTCTGGTATGTCATCTCAATGGTCCGCAGTTTTTGGAGTCAATTTGCAACCTTGAAAGCGTTCAGATAGAATCGATAGTGTCTTGGGGGTTTGCAACAGGTCAAGCTGATCGTAATGAGCGCAACGCTGCAAGCTGAAGTCTTTGCCCGATATTTCGCCTCTTTGGAGGGGAGTTGCTTTGATGCAGACTTTTGCTCTTTCTTGCTTTTGCTTTGCTTGCCTTGCGCCTGCTTTGCAGTGTTGGGGGTTCTCATGCGCAGGCCCCCCAATAGTCAAAGAGGCTCGCTGGGTTTTCGCGCTCAGGACATCTGGACCACGACTCCCTACCTGTGAACCTCAGCTGCCAGATCCTGCACTCATCTACACTCCACGCCTTAAATCTAAACGCTACCGCCAAGCTATACTCAGCCCAGTGTCCCTGCCGCAATCGAGCAGCAGCCTGAGGAAGCCTCTCTTTGTCGGTGTCCGACGCTTGACTCGGCCAAGTTTGATGATGGTTGTGGTCAGTTGTGCTCTGCCACCTTCCAGAGCAGCTTGCAATTTATGCTGAGTCCATGAAACCCATCATGTCCTTTTCGAGGAACGTTCCCCGTGGATATCATCTTTCTCGATGAGCTGGAGGCAAGCAGCTTGTACATGCGGCTACTCATCCTTTGTGTAACGCTTTGGACTCGCCAGGCACACTTCCAGATCACGGGTGGGCAAGCACGTCAGCGGCCAAGACATGCCAAGAGCTGCTCTTTTGAGCTGCTTTAGTGCCATCATATGGTTATAATCGGGTTATAGGTACGGTTATTGTTGGGTTAAATAAGTACCATGAGCCTCCAAGTAGCTGCTGCCCTTTTCCAGGTCAGGGCCTTGAGATCGCCCTGGAAGGCTTCAGCAAAGGCAAGAGCAAGGCCACGCTGCACAACATGCCCCTTTGTGCAGCTGCGGTGACGGCTTTGGCATTCCGAGGGGAAGAGCAAGGGCAAGAAAGGCGACCGAGGCCAGGATTTTTTGTGTCCAGACTTTCTCAGAGAAATTTCTTTGTGGGGGAGAAGGCATCGATGGAGCAGCTTCGGGCTTCCTGCGCTCGGAGCCCAAGCTGGTGGAGGGCTTGGACTGGGTGTGCAAGGCGAGCCGGGGCAAAATGCAGGGACATCAACATGTGCATCCTACGTGTGCACCTTGCGCGGCATCGCGGCATGCAGGTGGCATGTTTTTTTGACAGCATGTGCTACCACGTGCGTGATTGCCTTTGCCCGGCGCTTCGCCAGGAGCTGGTGCAGCAGATGGCCCAGGAGAAGTGCACGTTTCCGGGCCCGACATTGGACGTGGGGCGAGCCGCTTGAAATTGGGTGCTTGTGCTGCGCACTGCTATGGAGCCCAGGCTAGTCGTGTTCTTGCCTGGTATTGCCGACATCACGGCCTTCTTTGAAACGCTCTCTCCGCTGGAGTCTCGAGAGCAAGGCTGTGGAGGTCTCGGCTTGAGGCCACGAGGGCGCGATCTGCGGATCCGCCACATGAATTTTGGTCAAGCTTGCAGGATCTTCGCAATGCACTCGATGATTCCCCGTGAGGACCGTCAAGTGCGACACAGCTCAAGTCGGTGGAGTAAACTATGCCATGGCAACTACGGGGGTGTAGCCGGAACTTGTATCGGAAACCCGAATGGGCGTGCCACTTAGAGGTTCACGTCATTTCACATCTACCTTTCGAACCTCCTGCTGTTTACAGTAAGCCCTCAGCCCGAAGTAAGGGCACTTTTCTCAAGAGGGTGCAGGGTTCACTCCATGCTTTGTACTTCCCAGTGTAAGGGATGATGGTTTCATTGTTCCGGTCTCTGGTTTCTGTTGCAACCCTTGGTGGTTCCCGTTTCGCGTCAGGGCAGCCTCTGTTACAACTCCGAGTGATGCATGCAGTTGCGGGTTTTCCCCCTGGTTTCTGCGACTGCCCGCCCCGGTTTCCCTTATAACTTACAACCATTGCCCTTGCCTTAGTCGGTGAGAGTGCCAGGAGCAAGAAGAAGTCTTCAGGCCTCCTCCGGCTGGCATGTGTCACATCGTCCTTGCCTCCAATGTGGCAGAGAGCTCCCTGACGCTGCGGCTTGGCATGACGTCCTATGGGCAGTTTAGGGCAGTAGCCACGACTTCGCCGGTGCTGTGCCAAGGCCTTCGGTATCAGGAGTCATTGACATGTCCCTGCGACGATCGCTCGAGTATGATCCCCGGAGGCCAGATGTCAAGCTTTTCGCACCGCGCCATGCCAGAAAGAGTTTTCAGTCAGTATTTTGAGTTCTCTCAAATCTGTGCAGAGGCTTATCTCTTGTTTGGTCACCACCTGGTGCTCCCAGTCGAGCTGCAAGCAGCGCTCCGGAAGAGCCGGGCGTACCATGCCCGGCCGCGCTGTGCGCCGCTTGGGCTCTATTGGGTCGCAGCTTTCTTTTGTGGGCCATGAGGGATGCTGTGCAGGCATGGTGACACGAGCCTTCTTCGAGGATGCTCCTTGCCTATGCAGTGCCTGTTACTAGGGGATGTTGTCATGGTAGCAGAGTCGCTGCGCCAGCTGCCGCGGCCCACGGCAGCCACTGCCAGGCGCTCACAGAAGTTAGAGTTCCCTCTGCGGGGGTGAGAGCCGAAGGCGGGGGTGTGGGAGCATGTGGGCGGGGAGGCGGGGAGGGAGAGGAGGAGGGGGAGGGGGGAGGGAGGGGGGTTTGGGAAGGGGACTGGCGGGGTGTGCTTTATGATCCGGCAATTCACTGTCGGTCAAGTCATGTCTCTAATAGTTCTTGTTGGCACATAGTTCACGATGTTCGAGGCTGCGATTTTTCGTAACGAAGCTTCTTCTGAGTTGTACAGGCATTCCCAAGAGCTGCTTCGAAACCCAGAGTTGCCTGTTTTCCCGACCCCGGTGAGTTTCACGAAGCTGTCGAGTTCAGCCAAGCCGAGTCCAAGCTCCTTGCGTTCAGCTGCGGCTAAGTGGTGCTAAGGAGATGATCGAGTTCGATCCTCCAGACATGCTCAGTGCTCCACTCACAAAACTGTTCTTGCAAGCGAAGCAGCTTTGCATAAAGCTCGGCCATATCCAACAAAAGGGCATCATTCCCCAAGGGCGCCTTGACTGAGTAGTTCTGTGAGCTACTCTTAGCTGGTTGTGAGTTTCTTTTCTTCACCTGGCCTGCCTTGCATATCAGCCTGGCTCGTTATGGCTTCTGAGGATTGATGTTCAAATCACATCTCCATCGATTCTGCTAAAGCAGCTGGTTTCACCTCCAGCGACGGAGCTGGTCGAAGCCGCAATCAATGAGCTCTCGGACGTGGGCGCTGTAGACAGCAATCACGAGGAGTCTGATTAGGGCCCAAGATGGGGCTCAGGTCAGCATGCTGGTAGGACTTTCTGGGGTGTGTTGCAGCGCGCTCTGGGCGTCTACCTCGTCAGGAGGCGCTGATCACCCCTTTGGGGCACATATGCATGGTCCTGCCGTGTGAGCTCCGCCTCTGCAGACTGATTTACTTCGGCCTGAGTCTTGGTTCAGGCTGATTCAGTCAGCGTTTGTGTTTTCGTCTACTTGTTCCGCAAGTATTGATGTGACATTGATTTGCCCACATTTCTTCTTGACTAGCTTGTGTTCTTGGTGTTTTTTGCGTCTTATGGGATAGTTTTTTGTTTTGATGTTGAAGGTTGGCTGGGAATCGTCTGTGAGCTGTGGTGTGCGTTGATTCGGACTATTTTTGGTCTTTGAGTACTACTGATTTCCGACTGTTTTGAAGTATATCTTTTCAAACGAGTTATTTGCCAGTGCTTGCGCGACTTTGTCTGACATTCCAAAACAGGCCGCGGGAAATCTTCGTAGCAGGTTTGTGCGCATTCAAACGACTGGGTCCGATTCGTTGCTGTGCGGGGTGATGCAAGGATGGTGAACTGCGCCCCGGATTCTATTGCGATGGTTGCAGCCATCACGGCAGCAGACCCCTTTGCAGCACCAACGCTGCTGTTGTTGAAGGACTCCCTAGCGCACTGTTGCAGGCGCCGAAGTTCGGCTTCTCGCCCGTTTCACTGGCACGAACCGTGACTCTCTTGGTGAGGACGAGCGCGAGTATTGCCGGAAGCTGGAGCGCTCCTTTGATGCCCGGCTGCGCTGCGACCGCGGGCGCCACTCAGAGCCCCTGATGCTTCGCGAGCTCTTCATGCACTGGGTGGATGCAGGACCCTGCACATAGGACCATAATTTTATCGCACCCGAATACGAGAATCTGGGTGAGAAGGATGAGAGTCTGGGGGTCACTGCTTTTTCTCGTAGCTGTTGAAGGAGCCCCCAGGGGGAAGGCAATGGGCGCCTTCGCGAGGACCTGGAGCGTCATCCCCAAAAAGCTCGAAGCTGCTCCTGGCTGGCACTCGAGGGTTCCGCCCCATGATCAAAGCAAAACATCTTTTAGAACGTATCATACACATATAAATATAAATTGTCTCTAGATAGGTGCTGTATAAGATATCATATTCAAATATATACCCCCGGGGCCTGGTGTCTCCTCCTCCGGGTGGGCTGGTGCTGGAAAGGGTGTGGACCCTCGGGGCGGCACTAAGGGTCGTCAGCGACTCGACGAGCACCCCCCTTTCCCCCACTCGGCGGCGCCAGGGCGACAGTGCCTTTCCTCCCCATCTTCAGAGTCCATGATACATTGCAAAAGAAGGTGGCCTTTCGCGGTAAGTTTCCGAGCACACAATGCAGTGATTTGATTTTGGTCACCAATTGGTGAGAGGACAAGGGGCGCTCGGAGGCAGGCGCAGTTTTGTTGCGGCTACAACTGGATGTTATTTAATTTTGGTTTTGTTTTGCAAGCGTGGTCGCCCCCGGTGCTTTGTGCTCCCCCTGCATCTGGCGCACGCTTGTTGGGATCTGATCCGTTTCGATCCGTTATGGTTACTTACTCTGGCCAGTCAATGTTCTGAGAGTGGGTCCTCGTGTACTCTCTTGACATGCTGATTTGTTCATGTGGGTTGCGTGTCGCCCCCGGTGCTGGAGCTGTGTGCTCCCCCTGCATCTGGCGCACGCTTGATCCGTTTCGATCCGCTATGGTTACTTACTCTGGCCAATCAATGTTCTGAGAGTGGGTCCTCGTGTGCTTTCTTGACGTGCTGATTTGTTCATGTGGGTTGCGTGTCGCCCCCGGTGCTGGAGCTGTGTGCTCCCCCTGCATCTGGCGCACGCTTGTTGAGGTCTGTTTCGATCCGCTATGGTTACTTACTCTGGCCCGTCAACGTTATGAGAGTGGGTCCTCGTATGCTCTTTCGACATACTGTTTTGTTCATGCGGGTTGCGTGTCACCCCCGGTGCTGGAACCTGCCTCTGGCGCGCTTGTTGGGGTTCGTTCGGTTCTTGGTCCGTTTTGGTTTCTCCCTCCGGCCCGTTATTGTTGTGAGAGTTGTTTTCCTCCTCGGAGCAGGGTGAAGGTTTTCGTCGGGGTCAAGCTTGCTTTGCACTTGGCCTGATGATTCCGTGTGTTGGGTATGCTTGCTACATTGCTTGTTGCGACGATGTGAGGCCCTGGTTGCTACATTGGTCGATCGTCGTTTTGGGCTGGTTGTGTATGGAGTTTTTGAGCTTGCTTTGCACTTGGCCTGATGATTCCGTGTGTTGGGTATGCTTGCTGCGTTGCTTGTTGCGACGATGTGAGGCCCTGGTTGCTACATTGGTCGATCGTCGTTTTGGGCCGGTTGTGTGTGGAGTTTTTGAGCTTGCTTTGCACTTGGCCTGATGATTCCGTGTGTTGGGTATGATTGCCGCGTTGCTTGTTGCGACGATGTGAGGCCCTGGTTGCTATATTGGTCGATCTGCTTTGCACTTGGCCTGATGATTCCGTGTGTTGGGTATGCTTGCTGCGTTGCTTGTTGCGACGATGTGAGGCCCTGGTTGCTACATTGGTCGTTCGTCGTTTTGGGCCGGTTGTGTGTGGAGTTTTTGAGCTTGCTTTGCACTTGGCCTGATGATTCCGTGTGTTGGGTATGATTGCCGCGTTGCTTGTTGCGACGATGTGAGGCCCTGGTTGCTATATTGGTCGATCTGCTTTGCGCTTGGCCTGATGATTCCGTGTGTTGGTGCGACGATGTGAGGCCCTGGTTGCTACATTGGTCGTTCGTCGTTTTGGGCGGGTGTGTGTGGAGTTTTTGAGCTTGCTTTGCACTTGGCCTGATGATTCCGTGTGTTGGGTATGATTGCTGCGTTGCTTGTTGCGACGATGTGAGGCCCTGGTTGCTTTATTGGTCGATCTGCTGTGCGCTTGGCCTGATGATTCCGTGTGTTGGGTATGCCTGGTTGACACATTGTTCGATGGTCTTTTTGGGCCGTGTGTGCATGGTGTTTTTGAGTTTGCTTTGCACGTGGCCTGTTGATTTCGTTTGTTGTCGATGCTTGCTGCCAAATTGCTTGTTGTGACGATATTCTTTTCGCTGGGTGTGCGTGCTACATTGGTCGTGGGCTGAACCCCCTCTGCAGCTGACAGTGCCTTTGTCCATGTGTAACGTTTGCATTGCCTCCTTACATCTGTTTGTGCCTTTGATGCGCTGGTAAACATACAATTTGATGAGAAAGTCGCCCTTGTTTGCTCGATTTTCGCTTGCCTTATGTTGCTGGTTGGCGACCCTTGGCTGCACTAGCTAATTCCCCCACTTGAACTCTGCGACGGAGGGGGGCGATGACGCTTGCGGAGCCCCCCTGAGAAGTTGAGAGGGACGTGGGAGGCAGGCCGCACCGTAAGTGCTGGTCGACACTCACTCACTCACTCACACATTCAAATATATACAATATTTGCTGGAACATTTACAGAAGGCTAGCCGATGGTGCAGAATATATAAGCATCGCCTCATGCTTCACGCAAGCGAAGGTGGCCACCGAAGCAGTGGATTTGTCCACTCGACTTCTCAAGCTTTTGAAGCCGGGCACGCTCGAGCACACCTCCGTGCAGCACTTTTTGGCCACCATGTGCTTCAAAGTGTGCCGGACTCAGTAGGTTGTATCGGCTCGAGAGCAATCCGACTCCTTCTACACTTGGGGACTGGTACCATGCTGGCTGAGGGACGCGCGCGAAGAGATCACAACCTGCAATTTTCCATCGGACTCTGTGTATCTTGCTTGGGTTAAATTTCTGGGATGCTTTGCGGGGCGTTCTTTGTGAATGGGTGTGCGTGATCTCATGATTTTCATGGCTCACTATGGAGTCCCAGATGCTCCGTATGACGTGGTTCTTGCTGCGCGAAGCTGTGAGGTACAGTAAGCTTTTCTGTCAAGACATCAAGTTAATGCGACCGGCACTCAGAACTGAGGGGGAGCCGATCTTCCCCAAACTCCCCTTGTTGTTTTCTCCTCATTTTTGGGATTCTTTCAATCTTTGATCTTTGTAAAGGTGCGCTCCTGGCGCTCAGTTTCAGCGACCAGCTGCTTCTTCATGTGAAGCCCCGCTGGGATCCCAGCAGCGGCAAGAAGCGAAAGGAGGACCGAGGCAAGAACTATGTCACCTCTCCGGCTAAGCAAAAAAATCTCCGTGCACTCAAGGCGTGTTGCCATCTGTCCAGTAAGATGGTTGACACAAACAGGGTGCGCGCACGCGGGTGTCTGTGTCTTGTTTTTGTGTTTGTGTTTGCGTTCGTGTATGTGTATGACTCTATGACCCTGCCTTTTGCTTCTACAGCTCCGCTTGCTTGAGTGGCACTGGTTGGGGAATTAAACATAATTAAACACGAGTAATGGGTGGAGAAAATGAAGGGGGGGGGAGGTGAGACCATAGCTAAAAAAGCCCCAGAGTTTGAAGCGAGGGCTGCTTTTCCCCAGTGTACATGCCAGCAGAACCCGCTTATGATGTGCGCCTTCATTGGTGCATCCTCCTGTTGCTTACAGTCTCGATGTTTGTGCTTGCACACATCTTGCACAGGCAGTAACTCTGAACATGCTCAGATGACCATGACCGAAAACAAGCACGCTTCGTTCGGATGAATAGCACTGTCAGAGGTGACCACGATCGGCCGAATCAATGTGCGTATTGATTGGTTTCCGTAGCCGTCGGTCAGGAGCAAATGGTGGCAACCATGGCGGAGAAGAAGTTGGACTATTCCGGCACTGTCTGCATCATGCAGCCACCCTCAAAGCTTCGGGACAAGCAAGACGAGGAAGCCTCAGAAGCGAATGTACAGAGGCCAAGTCCATTTGTTTTGTCCTTTTCTTCTTTCAGAAGCTGTTTGCATCGTGCGAAGTAGTCGTTGCCCGGCCTTGGGAGTTTGTCAGGCTTTGCCAGGCGCTTTGTGGCGAAGCGGCGAAGAGGCCAGCATAGCTGTGCTCAGCCCAACTGTCGTCGAATCCCCTCTGAAGGACCTTCTGGGATGACAGGGAAAAGATCCTGTACCTTGATTTCGTCGGTGCCTGAAGCTGGAATTATCCAGCGCTCGGACTGTTTCTTTTCAAAAGTATGCTTTTGCTATCATGAGGTCGGTGGGAAGAAAGGTGGTGTACCTGACAAAGTTCGGCGGGGGCCCTGAGACGATCAAAGCTTCAGCATCACTCTGGGCGTAGTGAGGTCAAAAAAATATCGAAAGGTACTCGAGTTAAGTTCGAGTCGCTGGACCGTTTCTCACGAGGCATGGGCCAGACATGATTCTCAAAGATGCCCTGCCTCAGGCTGGACTGGCGGAGTTGTTAGAATTTTTGAGAGTTTCTAGAGTCAATTTTCAATGAGAGGGGGGGCAGGCGCCAACAAATCCATTCAGACTGCTGTCTCCCGTGCATCGTTGCAGGTGCACCGATGCCACCAGTTCAGCGCGGGCCGGTGGAGATTCAATGTGGAGTGCCTGGTTGATGCAGGTGGACTCTCCAGCCGCCAGCTCGACGTGCAGAGCTGCAAAGGAATTTTTAGCAGCTGAATCGCATGTGTGGCACGGGCTTGGCGCATCAGGCGGATCACAAAGCGAGGAGGTCTTGGAGATTGTTCGACCAGTGCAGTCCTCAAGCTACTAACAACAGCATCTCATAGCAAACAACATACGAATTATCGTTGGTTGTAGTTGGATATATATAGCGCCCATGAGAGTGAGACAGTGATTCCATTGGGTCAGCTGCTTCCAAGATCCAGCCATTCCTCCTTACCTGGGACGTCCTCCAGCGCAGCGAGCGGTCCGAGGGCGAAGGGCTCATCAAGAAGCCCGGCAAGGCCTTTGAACCCAGAGCCTCAGAATATATATGTATATATGTATATGTATATGCCTGCATATATACATATACACATATGTATGTATATGTATACGCTAGTTTTCAACGCACAACGTGTAATGCATGATATCTATACATGTATATCTATATCGTATACCAGTATATCAGATACAGCATATAGTATGAAATTCAGAATATAGGTGATAATATGTATAAAATACATCAAACCAGTTAAGGATTATGTATAATACATGTATTCGATATACGACAGGTCAAGTCATAATACATGTAAAAATAACTATAGATATAAAAGATATGTCAATGTGTACGTACATGTATGTACGCCTATGCGTGCATCTCTGTCTTCATCTTTCTATGTATATGTATCTGTACATTATATTAAAAGAGAATAAAGTAATATGCCAGTTTGTATTATAGTGTTTATGTTATGCTATGTAGAAAGTAAAATATCAGCATACATATATACATATATATGTATATACACATAGTAGTGTGTTATATGTTTCAATATATATATATATATATGTACAACATTACACATCGCAACCAACAAAACAGATGTTCTCTATAAAATAAACTTCATACAGCCAGCATTGCTAGAATCTTACTCCCTCAGAGTTGCAGATAAGTTGAAAACACCGAGAAGAAGGGGTCAGTATTGAATGGTTCAGAGGAAATGGGGGGGGGGTATCAGTATTGAATGGTTCAATAAACGGGGGGGACAGTATTGAATGGTTGAATAAGACCTTTGGGTATACTTGAGGGTTACGCGAGGATCTTGGGCTCTCGATCGCGATCCGTACGAGCGCGTGTTCGTACATCTTCTTACTCAAGCGCGTGTTTTGTGGTGGAGTGTGGTGGAGGGAGTGTGGTGTGGGTGGAGGGTGGTGGAGTGTGGTGGGTGGTGTGGTGGGTGGTGTGGTGGGTGGTGTGGTGGGTGGCGTGGTGGGTGGTGTGGTGGGTGGTGTGGTGGGTGGTGTGGTGGGTGGCGTGGTGGGTGGTGTGGTGGGTGGTGTGGTGGGTGGTGTGGTGGGTGGTGTGGTGGGTGGTGTGGTGGGTGGTGTGGTGGGTGGCGTGGTGGGTGTGTGGTGAAGCGTGGTGGAGTGTGGTGGAGTGAGTGTGGTGCAGGAGTGCGGTGGTGTGTGGTGATGTGTGGCGGAGTGATGGTGACATAGGCGTATTCTGATGTGCAATGAGTATGATCGCATCCCTGACCCTCTGCCGAAGAGCACTGTGCGTGCCATGCAGGTGCAAGCCATGCCAGACTGGTGGCATCCTCATCTTAAGTTCATGACTCGTAGGATACGTGTGGTGCCTCAACCAAAAACGCTTACGCTCACAAGGGGTGGAGGACCCGCTCCACCTTGCCATGGGTGCCTGCACCACTGTCCATCTCCGAGGCGAAATCCGCTGGGCTTTGCGTGCGACGTGCGCCCGGAGCTCATGCCAGCAAGGGAGCACCTTGCGGCCACCTGGCTTGACGATTTTGGGGAGTTTACAGCAGGGCTTACTACAAAGGAAGTCTATTTTTTAAAGGTTTTTTTTGTTTTTTTTTTGTCCTTGCTACTGGTACTACTACTACTACTACTACTACTACTACTACTACTACTACTACTACTACTACTACTACTACTACTACTACTACTACTACTACTACTACTACTACTACTACTAGTACTACTACTACTACTACTACTACTAGTACTACTAGTACTAGTACTAGTACTAGTACTAGTACTAGTACTAGTACTAGTACGACGATGACGACGACGACGACGACGACGACGACTACTACTACTACTACTACTACTACCCTAAACCCTAAACCCTAAACCTAAACCCTAAAACCCTAAACCCTAAACCCTAAACCCTAAACCCTAAACCCTAAACCCTAAACCCTAAACCCTAAACCCTAAACCCTAAAACCCTAAACCCTAAACCCCCTAAACCCTAAACCCTAACCCTAACCCTAACCCTAAACCCTAAACCCTAACCCTAAACCTAAACCCTAAACCCTAAACCCTAAACCTAAAACCCGAAACCCTAAACCCTAAACCCTAAACCCTAAACCCTAAACCCTAAACCCTAAACCTAAACCCTAAACCCTAAACCCTAAACCCTAAACCCAACCCTAAACAAACCCTAAACAACCCTCAACCCTCAACCCTCAACCCTCAACCCTCAACCCTCAACCCTCAACCCTCAACCCTCAACCCTCAACCCTCAACCCTCAAAACCCTAAACCCTCCTAAACCCTCCTAAACCCTAAACCCTAAACCCAAAAACAAAAAAAACTCCCAAAAAAAAAACGAAAAACATTCCTAATTTAATTCTCCGGCCTACTACAAATAGGGCTCAGGGGGTCTAAGGATGTTTAGGGTCTTAGTTTAGAGTTAGGGCTTGAAGCTAGCCCTTGCGAGCCTGGGCAGTTTGGACATGTTGCGGCCCTGCCAGGTGTGTGCTTCAATTCAAGGCCGCGGGCTCAACATGCAAAGTCGTTGGATTTGCACCATTGCTGTTGTTCGTTACTTATGATCTCTTGCATCCTTTTCTTGTTTGTATTGTTTTTTTTTTGGGGGGGGGGGGCGGGGGGGGGGGGGGGGGGAAGTACGGTGCAATTTGCAGCTTGTCTAAGGCTTGGAGCCCCTCGGCGCGAATTGGGGAAGCACCGCAGGAGGAATGATAATTTTATTTTTAGTATCATTTTTATTACCCTTTTATGATTATTGTTATTCTTATTCTTCTTATTAATATTATCATTGTCATTCTTATTGCGGGCTCAAAGGTCCGGGCAAACTGCGCTCGTGGCGGGTGTGACGGTGCCTGCCTTGGAGAACAAAAGCGGAGAACATCACGGTGCCCCTCATGGATTGGGATGTTCCCCCCTATACTAACAGTCCTCAATAGGGATTACAGTACCCCCTTACTGTACTCCCAACTAAGGACTGTTAGTACAAGGGGGAACATCCCAACACATGGACCTTGAAGAGCCAGTCTTGAGTTTCTTTTCCTCTTGAGGTGCTTGGCATGAACTACTTCCCTTTTCTGCTGCCAACCTTGGACCCGGGCAAATGGAAGCTCCAGCTCCCCAATGCAAAGTGGGGGGGGGGGTTTCTTCATGTCCCGCACCTGTCAGCACGGGCCTCGGCCAAGGTGGGGCTTCAACCCGCAGACCCATGAAATTCACGCCGGCCGCTGAGCATCTCTTTTGCCAGTGCTGTCCGTGCAACAAAAACTGGAAGCTTGGGGAAGACGGGCAAAAGAACCTGACGTGAGGCTGTAAATGGGGGGCTTAATGACGTAAGGGCTTGGGGGATTTGTGGAGTCGATGGGAACTTAAGGTGAAGCTCCAAAGAAAGTGAGTGTGAGCCCAGGCGGTTCGCCTGCTCCACATGGAGATCCAGCTGCCCCCGGAAACCCTCACCTGGGAGGTGCTCCGGAAGTCCAATGTCCTTCGTGCCAAGCTTCGGGAGGCAGGGGCACAAGAGGGGATAGGGGTCCATTGAGCTGAGTTCCGGGTTACGGGTTTTGGGTTTAGGGTTTAGGTTTTAGGGTTTAGGGTTTAGGGTTCAACAGCTTTCAACCCTAAACCCTCAACCCCGCTGTCTTCTGTCTCTGGGCTCAGCTCCGAGGCGCTTCTGCCGGTCGATGGGCAGAAAGGCGGCAAAAGAAGCAACGCTTCCGGGCAGAGCCATCTTTGAGCCCGCGCAACTAAGAGGCCTACCCGGCCTTTACCTAAGTCTTGCTACCTCGAACCCCCCCCCCCCCCCAGTGCGAATCTAAGGCTTTTGCTTTCCTGGCCATCCCCGACCTCCGGCGCGACATGGTGACGGGTCTGAAGATTCCAGCTGCACCCCTCCGCCCCCCCCCGCCCCAACCCCTCAAAACCCACCCCCTAATGGAACAAAAGAGTCCCTTCATTGCTTAAAGGTCCCTTTGTAGGTGTGAGGCGATTGTGTCGGAAGCCCTCTAACAGTAAACCTGAGTTAGGAACTAGGCCTTGGGCTGTTCTTTGAGGCTGACTTTCTTGACGAGATCTGGGACGAGCCCTACCCGGTGCGACAAGCAAAACGCATAACCTGGGGCAGCTCAGCTACAGTTCTTGCGACTACCCGAAAACATTTTGCTGCCTCCGGAAGCAGTTTTGCAAGGATGTGGAAAGCCTTCTGACTGCCAAATCGTTGAGAGTGTTCATTCTTTGCCGAGTGCTTTGCGCTGAGGTCATGGCGCTGACGAGGCCGACCAGGCACCGGCAAGCCTTGAGCATCCTTGAGAATGTTCCGAGAAGGTGGAGAACTACTTGTACAGGGTGTGGCATATTGTGGCCATGAGCAACGTTGGGCCGGTTGTCACAGTTCCTCGTAGCACCTGTTTGATTGCTCCATTGGTCTGCACTCACATGCCCACCGGCCAGTGCACTCCTGGCCAGTGCGCGAGCCCGCAGTGCGCCACCCTTCAGGTAGCGGAGCGTCTGTCTCAGCTTCGGCCGCTGGAACACACCCTGTGCGAAGTCAACGAAGTGAGGCGCCTCCAACTTGGAGATCCATGAAACTAGCCTGAACTGCGAGATGGCTGTTAGCTTATTGCTTTTTCTTGTTCTTCTTGATGTAGCCGTTGCAGGTTAACAAAAAAGCAGATCAAAGAGCAGAACAAGGCTTGGCTGCTGCTGATCTGCTTGCAGGATAACTGATGGCCAGCCATCTTTGTGCTGTCAAGGCTTTGCTTGCAATGCAGCAGAAGGAAGCTGCAATGCGTCCTACAGAACCACCAGCCACTCGTCTCACATTCAGCAGAGACCGTGCAGTAGATTTGTGGGCCTGGGCTGGAACATCTCATGACTTTGTGTGAGCTTCTGCTGCGCAGCTCCAATGCCTTGTCATGCTTTGCCTGAGGAGTATGTCAAGAAAAGTGAGTTGAAGGTGGGCGACAGGGCATCTCTCAACGTGAAGTACGGCGATCACAAAGGCTCGGAGCAGTGTTTGCAGATGCTCTGGTCAGATGCCCTGCTGCTAGAGCTTGCTCAGGTCAATATGCCGTGCGTATCGTGGGGATAGAAGAGAAAGGCCTGAGGATACAGCATGAGAAGGACAATGCTTGCATAGATGGTCTCAGCAGTAGCAGTTTCTCAGCATTTCTCAACCGTCAACGGGGAATGTTTGGGTCTACAGCTTCTTCTTTGAGTGCAGGATGGATACGAAGAAGTTGTGAAACAAAGAGCGCCTTGGGACCACAGATCTTTGCGTGGATGCACCTGTCAACCTCTTCAAGCTGGTCAAAGTCAAGCTGCAGGGATGCCATCAGCCGTCTCAGCCTGGAGCCCCAGCTGAGGACATAAAATCCGGGAAGCTCAGCATCAGTGTGCCGTGCTTGCAAGTCAGAAGTGTCTGTATCGCTGGTGGCGCCGAGCCCGGTGGAAACTAGTGAACTAATTGACTACCTGCGGGAAAAAAGGGGAGGGGTTCCCTTACACATGAGGCAGGTTTGTTATGATGTTTGTTTGATGAGTGCATACAGGGTTCCTTGGCGTCCTTTCGGGGAATGATGACGAAAGAACAGTGAAAACAGCAAAAGCCACTTCGCATCCAACCCCCACACACTTGCGGCTGACGGAGGGGGTCAGGGGGGTTGGTGACGAGGGTTTTTGAGATTACTGCATCGGCTCGTCTGTCTTTCGTCTGCTGCATCATGTTTGGAGTCACGATCGGACTTTTTTCCTGCTGCCTTTACAAGACCAGGTTGTGTAGCGACGCTTGCTGAGTGCGCGGATGGTGAGAAGTGGGTGCGTGCTTTCTTTATCCGCAGCCCATCAAAGGTTGCATGCAAGGCTGCGCTATTGTAGCAATGCAAGGCTGTGCGAAGATAATCCTGTTGAAGCATGATTGGCATGGAGCAGCCTTGCTCATCCGCTGTTGTAGTAGGGAGCAGCTGCACCGTGAGTCTGTCATGTGTAGCTGCTGTAGCTCTTATCTTGCACCTGAAAGGCAGAAGCCAATGACAGACTCCGGGAGCGGAAGTCGCACTTTTGTACATACGACATATGCTTCATCTTGAGCCGCCTGTGTCGGTCCTTTCACGAAAACCGAAGCCGGGGTGGGAAGTTGGAAGATGCGACTCTTGCAGAGTTGCTGTAGGACAATGGTGCTTCGCAAAGACTCTTGGACTGGAGGTTGCGAGCTGCCACCGTCAAGGACACTTAGTCCTTCTGGATGGCGCCGTCCTCCTGAGCTTCTCGAACAGAAGTATACAGACAACCTCAATCTCTGCTCTGTCGAGATGTGGCCCAACATGTGGGGTTCCCGGGTTCCCATTGCACCCCGCTGCTGTCGAACGCAAGGTTCCCGGCACCGCTACACTCCGCTCCGGCCTCAGAGAAGGATCAACATCTCTTCCGACGCTCAACATACCCCCTTCGATAGAGGGGGGGGGGGCGGGTATTCTCTTTCCCCCCTACTCCCCCTCTCCCCCACCCCTCCTGTTTCTCCTTTCCCCATCCTCGCGCCTACTCATAGTCGTCGAAGAAGTCGTCGAAGAAGAAGCAGCAGCAGCAGGAGGAGGAGGAGGCGGAGGAGGAGGAGTAGTAGTAGTAACAGTATCTTTCAAGCTTTGCTAAAGGCATTCGCGCCTGCTCTTTCCCTTTTGCTTAGGGCCTGCGTGGAGGGACATCTACGGAGATTCCATTTTCTCTTTCAGTTAGTTTTTCCCACTGCTGGTTACTGCGACTGCTTCAGCAAGATATAAACGTGCATTTTCCCATGCGTGTTCGCTGTATTCAATGCTTTCAAAACATTTGTGTGCGCTTTTCTTTCTTTTTGTTTCGTTCTGTTTGCTGCTGTTTTGTTGAGTGCCATGTGAGAGGCCTCTGGGGAAACAGTTGAAAACACACGGGAAACCCACAAAACCCAAAGCGCTGCAAAACACCAAAGTCCCAAGCCCTGAAGTCCGAAAAAAGCCCTGCAAAACACCAAGGGCCTAAACCCTGAAGAGTGCGATCCACTACACCCTGCAAAGCTGTACCCCTCCCTACCCCACCGAAGCCAAGGCAACAATGCTCAATACACCAGTTCTGCTTCTGGGTGCGCTTTTCAGTGATATCGAAACGGAACTGTGCACGAAAAGGCAACAGGAAGCGATTGATGATATCGGTTTTGCGGAAGTACTTTACGCCGATGATACCAAGCTCTTTGGAGCCAAGAGCTCAAGGTCCTCTTCTGTGCAATTGAAAGGTATTCCGTCCCCCTCTTTTAGTAAATGGATTTGGGGGGGGGGGGCCCCAGCCATTGGCCAATAACATTTTCCATTTACGGGGTGGGGGGGCGGGGGAGTGTTCCGGGGTCAACATAATGCATTTTTGTGAGTGCTCGTTTCCTGAACTCGCTTGCATCGCTGCTGTTTGTCGGACCAGGTCGGCGTGCAGTGTGACAGAAAATGCATAGCTATGACAAATTAAATGTGTAAACCTTCGAGCCAATCAAAGAACCTCATCTGTTTATTTTTTCCAACAGGCCCTGCGCAAGGCAGGCTCGAGGAAGCTTGCTGATGAATTCGTTTGACAACAGGTCCGAAGTGTTTACAACAGGCTTGGGAATGGCACTGCTACTGCAGACTCAAGCTGTTCTGGCACAGGGCCCGAACATCTGAAACTTGGAAAATTCAAGTTTTCCACGCTATTGTTAGGTCCAAGCTACAACTTACTCAGTCGGAAATCTTTTGTCTTCCTGGCTTTCAAAACAAATCTCTACGCGCGCATCCTCGGAAAACCCCCATCATTCATCGACCGTGTGTGGGATGTACACCGCTGCAATTTCAAGCATGTCGGAGACACTTGGAAGAATTCCAAGATGAGGTTGTTCGGACGTGTTCTACGTGCTAGTTCAGCTGACCCCATGAACCAAGTCTGTCTCGATGCAGACAACCTCCGCCGCAGAAAAGTCCATGGTAGACGCCGACGCTCAGGGAGACCCAGAAGCGACGGGGTAGCCGAATCATAAAAAAAGATACTTTTGAAGTTATTCATGGTACAGGGCCTGACTTCGACGTGCATAATATAGAACATTTACGACAAGTGAAAGCTCAAGCATCATCCAGATCGCCGCCCTTCACGCGAATCACTCCAGGTTTCTGGTTTTTGTTGGTAATTGCTCGGGGTATTCTCTCACTTTTTTTGTGCGGATGCACGGAGCTACAGTTCCCAACTTTTTTGTTTGGTCTTGCTGACGTTGAATTGCACAGTATAGCCTGTAGTTCATCTTGTTCGTCGGGAGATAAGTCATGCTCAAAGGCAAAAGACGACAGCAGCAAACAGAACGAAACAAAAAGATGGAAACCCCAAACAAAAAGCAGAAGAAACGAGTTCAATGTGTGGAAAGCATTGAAAAAGCGAAAGTGCACGAGAAGATGCACGTTAATGCTGTTCAACAACACCGAACAAAAACCGGAAGACGCAAAGAGAGGAACATTTCCCAGAAAGCTGATCTGTGCAAAAGCCATGAGAAAATGCAGGGAGATCCTTATCGTTGTTATCCCCCCCCCATTCTGTCCCCCCCTCCTCCCCGCCCCCCTACTACCCTCCCTCGAGGGCGGGGGTGTCGTTCTTCCAACAATAATCCTCTCCACCCCAGAAGCCATCACATGAATTTGCAGATGCTTTCAGCAACCACCCTGCTTCCATTGGCTCAAGCAGCTGGCACTGTTTTGGCCGCGTGGAGACTTCTTCATCATGACGTCGGCGAAGGCCGTGATGTGTGCCGAAATATCCTGATGGCCGGTGTTGCATGTACGCTCCCCCGTCTTCCTGCGTGAGCTCGGTGCAAAGGCGGTGGTAGCGGTGGTGGGCTCTCTGCTACTGCGAGCAAGTGCGCAGACAGAGTGTACGGGACCTACTTGCAGGTAATGACCCTCAGCACATATTACCTCGTGTCAAAGCCTTGGCAGGAGGTCTAGGTGAATCGTGTATGGTCGTGTGGAGGAGCGCACGCCGAGGTTTGCGATTGCATTTCAGCTTTGTGAAGTTCGCTCTGACCTGTACCTAGGTGCAGTGCCGGTTGGATTCCCTTCGTCTACAGCAGTGGACAGAAGCCTGTTCAAGTTCTTTGCAACAGTGGCAACTTGCTTGCAGTCGCAGCGAAGATTTCTTTTGATTAATTATATAGGAGCTAACGGCACGACCTCCGCCCTCTCTCTTCTCTCTCTCTCTCTCTCTCTCTCTCTCTCTCTTTCTCCGTATTCAGTTATACGTCTACCGGGCCCCTCCTCCCTACCCTCCCCCTTGCCCCCTGTGTGGTCCGGTTGTGGGTTGGTTTTAGGGTTTGGTTTAGGGTTTATTGTGTCGGAACTTAGGGTTCTCCCCTTCTCCCCTGTTAGGGCTTTGGTGTCGTTTAGGGTTTTAGAGCTTAGGGTTTTAGGGCTCATAGGGTTTTTAGGGCATAGGGTGCGAATTTAAAGGTTTAGGATCTTTACATAGGGTTTGGGCTTAGGGCTTTATGGCTTTGGGTCCCTGAGCCCTGATTCCAAGGGCTAATAAGACGGCTGACATGCTTTGTCACCAGGAATAGCATGGACCCTTGTCCACCCTAAGCCCTTTTCAGCTTTCTGAGGACTTTTTGCCCCACTTCTTCACTTCCACGCCGGGTTTCTGTCGCAGTGGCCCTACCTGGGATCATGAGTCGACTCCTTAGCTTCGAAGAAGACGCTGTGCAGGAGATACTTGAGAGGTTCAGGTTCGAGAAAGTTGCGCGCCGCAAATGGTTCGTTGTTTCAGACATGACCTCGCGGAACATGGCTTTCGCGTCCTTGGCCTGAGGCCAGCACTCGACACCAACGCAGGAATAGCGGCATCGGCCGAGAACAACGAAGCAGGAGGCTTGAGCCCTGTTGATTGATCTTGGCTTGCCCGGTTTGTGCTCGGTTCAACTTCAGCAATCCAGGGTTTGGCTTCAGAGTTTCACCTGGAGGAGGTTTAACCAAGTTTTGCCGCTGTTGTGCTCTTGTGGTGCTTACATGTGCTTACCGCGTCCCTGACGTCCTTGCGCCCTGTCAGATGGCCAATGGTTCTGCGTCCAGGACTGCTAATTTTTGAGTAGTCGTCGTTCTCTCTTTCGGTTGCGGTCTGTGAGGAGAAGTTGGCTTCTTTCTTGTTGCATTCAAGCGCAAAGTGCTGGCTAGCATGCATGCGGCATTGGCTTATTTGACAGCCTACTTAACTAAGCTCTGTCGCACGACCACTTCGCATTCCACCCGGCACGTGCGCACTGGCTTATAGAAGGAACGCTGTTAAAACGCGGAGAGACAGCCTGCTGTCAGGATAGTCCAGGAGGGCCATTATCATCACAAGAATGCCCGCGTCTCTAACGTGTGGCTAAAGTTTGAGCACCCCTAGACCCTAAACTGTCAAGCGACTTACCAAGTGCAGGAACGTCACACGCGAGTTGGATGCATGGCCCAGTGCGAAACGCGGCATGATTGCGATGCCGCTTTGTTACAAATTGGAGTGCTCTGGAGACACGAGTTTTGGTTAAAGGCAGATGCCCAGAGAGGGCAGTTCAAAAGCCGTGCAAGCTTGGTGTGTGCATGAAGGACACTGCAAACCATTTTGCAGCCTTGACCTGTTCTTTGCTGCCGAGGGTTTTGATCGACCGCCCATTGAAGGTTTGCAAGAGTGCTGTGCCTTGGATGGCCTTATGACGGTTGCTTGTGCCAGATGCGAAGAAGCCTTTGCAATGATCCAGGTCTGTTCACGGGCAACAACACGGGCAATGGTGATGCTAATCGCATCTGCTTCTCGAAAGACGTGCCGCGCCCGTTCAAACCTGGAGACCTCCGGGATACGACCCCAGGTTGCAACAAGGGGGTCGAGGAAGCCCATGGAAGCCTTTCAATTTGTGTTTCAAGGTGGGTGGTGTTGGTATTGCATGACTCGGCAGCATCTAGCCGTGTTGAAGAGTCCATGTCTGAGCATGTAGCTGAGACCTTCGGGTTGGAACAGATCAACTGTGCTTCGAGAGGCAGCAGACGATGCAAGGAAAGGAGTCTGCTAGTAGACGCCCTTCCCCTAGAGGGCTGAACAACCCGACCACAGACATGTGGAAGCACGGTTTGCGACGGAAGCAAGTGCAGTAAGCATGGAGACAGTGAGTGGGAGATGCCTGGCGAAGCTCGTGAAGGCTGTTAAGGCCAGCAAGAGGGACGACGACCAACATGGCACGGCCAGGGTCGAGCGGAGGGTATCGTCAGTCCACTCGGGAAAGCCCTTTCCCTGCGGCTCGAAAGAAGGCTACTTCACAAGCAGATTCCCCGAGAGCAGCGTGTGTTGAGCATCTCATGTGGGATTCCACGGTTGAAGTCGGGCGAAGATGTTGCCTGGATGTTCCGATTCCGTTGCGACCCACGGCATGATCAGGTCACAGGCGGGTGCTATCAGTATACTTATATGTGGACTGTAGGAGGAATCTAGGCCAGGTTGGAAGGACTTCCCTACAGGGTAGGCTGTTCACCTCTCCCAGAAGAAGTGGCGGTTCATGCCGAGGAATGCGGCATGTCACGGGTCATGCTAGCTGCTAGCTCAGGTCTGTGACTGTGCTTCCGGTACCTTTTTTGAGCTACCTCACGCTGTCCTCAAATTCTCTCGGTGTCGTGGCTTCAGCTGATATGGGATGGTGCTTTTTCTGGCAGCGCCTCGACTGCAAGTGACAGTTTGCCTCGTGATGCTTCTGCTGCAGAGCTTGAGAAGGCGTGTCTTGCGTGCTTCGTCTTTACAAAGGAAGCGCGAGAACGGAATAAAACCATCGCCAATCCCTTCCCCCTATTTTCAACCCCCCCCCCTAATATGGAAATCCCGATCTGGGGCCAGCATTTCTTAGGGGTTGAATTTCAAGAGTTTTGATTTGATACTTAGGTCGTGGACTGCTCAAATCCATCCATTCGCGTCTTAGTGATTTTGAAGGCCCCCCTGAACCCAAGGGTCCGCCAAACAAGTCCTGGCCTCCATGGCATTTAAAAACAGGCTCCAGGCAACTGGGAGGGTTGTGCAGATAAGCAAATCGCAGGCCGCGTTTCAGGAGAGGTCATCTTTTTGGGGTCCGCAAACTGCAAACAACAGGCCTAAGCCTTCAGCTTAAAACCCCTTCAGCCCCCTGGCAGATCTTTCGGCTCCTGGTTTTGCGGTTTTGCTGGCCTCGGGCACGCCAAGCTTGCCAGGAGTCCCCCACCCCTACCCTAATGTGGGTTTTTAACATAGCATCACTTGGGTTCTATGGTACTTAAAATCACATATTCTCGATTTATCTCGTTCTTATGGTGTACATTGCTTAAATTGTATTCGGGGGCAAGGCCCTATCTATACTGTTGTCTTAAAGTCTGAAAGATCCACGCAGCTACGCTTGATAGACTGAACAAACCCTACGAAAGAGTACGCAGAATATCCAACACAAAAAGAGAAGAAGCCCCTTTCCGTCGAACGAGTTCCCGCAAGCCGGGAGTCGCCCCCCCCCAAAAAGAAAAAGTTCTGAGCCTGTGAGGGGCTTCCAAGTGTGCGCCCAGAAGCTGATCCCCTTGTGTTGAGGTGGTGCGGATTCGTTGTGAAGGATTGCCGCGGCCAGGTCTTGTACAAAGTGGAGGTCTCTCGGTCGCCTTCCTTGAAACCTTCGCGGCTGAGTTCAGGGAACATTTTTCTGGGGGCGCCTGGCCTTCTCATTGTTGTGCAGTCAGGTTGAAGCCCTGCCAGACATTGATTCCACGGGGAAGCTGCCTCTTGGTAGCCTCGGAGCCTGATAATCACGGGCCCGCGCCAGCATTCCGACGAGTCAGCCGAGTAAGGGTTTTTGACCAAGGTATCCTGGCACGTTGGGAGTGAGTTATGTCATTAAAGATGGCGCGGCCTGGCGTAGTTGGACTCTGCTCCTTGTTCAGCTTCCGTGCTTCCGATGCATCTGGCTGACGCGAAGCATCCGAGGCTGGGATGTATCTCGGCCGAAGCAGCCATCTGACTGATGGTTACCAGCCCATTCGACTCTTGAATGCTGAAAACGAGGAGGCGTGGCGATTTGTACTATCAGGCTTGTTAGCTTGCAGAACTTCTGTGTGTTCACACCCTATGCTGTCCTGAAAAGAGTCCTCCAGAGAGCATATACCGGGTTTGATGTGTTTGCGCAAGCTGTTCTTTAATGATAGCTTCGGACAGTTTACCCCCTTTGCACCAGGTGTCCATGCTGATCACGGATGCGGGGTTCTGGAGAAGGACCTTTTTCCCTCTGCGTTGGTTCGCCGCCAGCCCAGCCGGAGTCTGCCTTCCAAAGGTCCAAGCTCATTGCCATGCCTCTGCCTTGCGATGTTCCCCCCTTATACCAAAAGTCCTTAACAGGGATTCTAGTACCCCCTAGTATAATCCCCTGTTAGTAAAATTCCCAACCTCTGCCTTAGGTCAACACTGCCGTCACAGCAGAATCGGCAACTCCAGCCCGATCTTGCCGCACATGTGACAGACGGGGTTGCGCTGAAGAGCTTGCCCATGCCTCCTCTCAAAGTGGTACTTCCTGATGCCAGGCTACACAGGTGCCTCTTTCAGATCCGCGCTTGCTCACGCTGATGGTCACGTTCCAATTCCGCAACCTAGGACCGGGCTGGCCGTGGTACCATAACGCTCCACGCCTTGATGATGTCTCTAAACCCTGAAGATCGAGGTGAATAGACAAAAAGATACAGCAAGCAACTGTATGTGTGTTTCTGTGCATACACGGTACCCTCCCCCCTTTCAAAAAACCACAAGAGACCTAAATCCGAACATTCATTTCAGGAACCAAGGCTCTCTGACATCTTGGTTCTTGGTTCTGGTTTCCTGGTCTGAATGACAGCAAAGCAGGCAAAGCATCATCACCCCAAATCCTGTACCCAAAACCCTACACACTTGTGAAGTTCCTCCTGTTTTACTCCCTGTACAGTAGCGCCGAGGTCACATCTTGTAGTACAATTCCACTCCTTCGTGTTTCCCTAGAATCCCCCTTAATACAAGGGCGTAAACTCTAGATCTTTGTCTTTTCGCTTATTTTGACCGCCGCAGGCCCGAAGCCCCAAGTCATCACTTGTGGAATCAGGGGGACTGGTGATCATCACAAAGGGTACTCCGGGAAAAAACACGTTTGGGAAGAAAACTCCCCGAGCCACAATAATGATTCCTCCTCTTGCCAGCCTTTCGTTCGTCCGCGGGCGCGATTCAAGAAAGCCAGGTCGAAGCCAAAAGAAGCACCCCCAACCCACCGGGAAACCGAACTCGAAACGCCCCAACCCGCCACCAAACCACCCCGGAACAAACCCACGCCCGGGCTAAAACAGACCTGACATAGGAGAGCACATAACTACTTGGATCACGGGTCCTAGATTGCCGTGGTGTTTGGGTGTGCGAAACGTACGTTTTACCTGGGTTTCTGGAGGATTCCTAAAACAGGAGGCCAAAAAAACAGGAAAAAAACTACTTCGATGTTTACTGAATTGGGGGCTTTGGTGTTAAATGAGATCGTACTTCAGCCAAAGGCGTGGACGCTTGTGACAGCTTTTCTTCTTCCACATCCTTGCGCAGTGTGTTGTACAACGGGGCGAAAACGTGGAAAGTACCAGTGTTTTGGGCATCGTCGCAATTGGTATGGACGCTTGTGACAACGTGTCCTGCTCCGCATTGTTGCGCGGTATGTCGTACAACGAGGCAAAAACGGTAAATAGCAGTGTTTTGGGCATCGTCGAAATTGGCATGGACGCTTGTGACAACGTGTCTTGTTCCACAAACTTGCGCAGTGTGTTGTACAAAGAGGCGAAAACGCGGTAAATACCAGAGTGTTGTGCATGGAAGCAATATGAATGACGTTCTTATCCCCCCCCCCCCCCCCCCCCCCCCCCCCCACCCCCCGACCCCCGAAACAGGCCATAAATTGCCGAAAATGCCGAAAACCTTACGGCAATCTAGGACCCGTGGTCCAACTACTTGTGTTACTCCTACACTTCTTCTACTTACAAGCAACAACAGGCTATAATGACTATTGCCAGTTCCTAGAACTCCTGTAACTAGTACAGGAAATTCATGTAACGTCATTGCTATAATCATCATTGTCGGCAATGTAAGGAATATCAGCAAAATCACCTATATAACAAGCATCGCTCAAATACTTAAACAATCATCAATATGATCCCAACCTGTTGCAGTCACATTCCTATATACGTCTGAATGATATGTGATTACTCATGATAGGGGAACCCCGAAGAAGAAAAGAGGTCAAGCAGCTAGCAAAAATTCAGCCTCATGATCTTGATTGCATACAGGGTCTAAGCCCTCTTGAGTAAGGCGCCTGAGAAAACTAAATGACTACTATGTTTACTTAAAGTTCAAGCCTGTTCTCGGCCCTATTGCTCGCCCACAGTTAAATACAGCATGGTCCGAAAGGATTCTCATATATTCTTGTTATCGCCTTTCTAATTAGTAACTTACAGAACAAATGTAATTCAACCTCTATGAATACAAGCTCTTTAGTTCCTAAGGGGTCCCCCCCCCCCCCCCCCCCCGATGCAATTACCAGAGTCCAGAACATTCTGGTCCTCATGGGCCACATTGTCCTTTCATGGTGAGACGCAGGTTTCAGGGGGGTAGCCGCCCTGGCCTTGCATGGCACAAGCCTACCTGTGGTCGTGACTGGAAACAACTCCATAAAGCCGTAGGTCCTTGAGAGGGAGGGGAAGCGTGTACATAAATAAGTATATATATATATATATATGTATATCTATATGTATATAGAAATATAAGTATAGACTGTATAGATGTATGTATATATATATATACATATGTATATCTGTACGTGTGTATACATGTATATAAGTGCATATGTACATACACATATTGAAATGGTGTCGTTGCCATGGCCTTGCGATGGGAATGTGTAAACAGTGCGCGCGAAGGATACTTCGGTTTCTTCTGGGTGTTCCTGCTGATATTGCTCGCTGCTGCATACTACTACATTCGCAGGCAGGACCTCAATCACCACATGCGATTTGAACGTCCTTTCCTCATGCCACATCAGCCTTTCATGAGATTCTCCCAGTTCCCTGTGGCATGCGTTCAGAGTTGGAATCGGCTTTTCGTTCTTGCAGGCTTGTCTTAATTTGCTTTGGCAGGGAACGGCTCCGCTATGGCACCTACCCCGCACGCGGCTGGTGGAAATACTTTCCGTTCTCCTCGAGTTCGTATGACGAGGAGCAGGCAAGCTCTCATGAAGTTGCCCGTAGAGCAGGCAAAGCTGTGTACAGCAAAAACACGTCTGCTTAGATTCAAGGAGAACAGTTGAGGTTGTCTGAGGGTCAAGCGCTGGCCACCTTTTGTTGCTGGGAAGTCCATGGCAGGAGTTCCTCAACACTGACGGCGGCTGTTGCACAGGGCGGCCGAAGAAACAGAAGGCCTGAAAAAGCTGTTCAGGGCTCTTCACAAGAAACGTCGGCGATGAAACCCAGCATATCAAATCACAGGCTTGTGAGCCACTGTTCAGAAGTGACGATGCTCTGTCAGACGTCATGGGGGAACTCCTTCACGCTTGTCAGCAGTCCTGCGGGTGACATGCTCTGATGACACCCGGCTGAACTTGCAAAGGACAGGTCCGACATCCGGAGCCCCGAAGCCCCAAGCCCTAAACGCAGCGCCAACCGAGGTGATGGGCTCGAAGGTGAGCTCCGTTGGTTTTCATGAGAGGCTGCACCTACCGAGCACGCAGTTTTCATGCCGAGCATGACCGCGCACGTTCATGGTCCAAATGTGTCAATGAGCTCAAGCCGGGAACTAGTTGACCCAAACATTGATGTTTGTAGGGCTCTCCTCGTTGAAACCTTCATTCAGGTGATCTCCACTGTATTCGGCAGAGCATTTTCTTCCTTGCCTTCGGGCCTTAGGGCTACATTGACGCAATCTGTGCCATGAAGGGCCAAGAAACTGCTTCGAACTGGCCAAGGCAAAGCCCAAAGCAGCTTTTCGTCTTGTGTTCTGGATCCGAAGGATCCTTTCTAGAGTCTCCGAGATTCAAGCACAGGCCGTAGGTCTGATGGATCAGCGCCGGGACGCTTTCTTTCATTCGTGACTGACTGGCTTGGGAAACACCGCTAAATAGATCAAAAGCTGCATGGCTGATGGAGCTTCATGGAGTTTCGTTGCAGGTTTCTTCTGTTGGAGCTGCGATGTTGATGTATATTGCAGCAAAGATGAGGTTCGCCCGGCTCCCTGAGGACTGCCGACCAGATCAGCGCGCCGCCGCCTGAGGTCATCGGAGCCTTCGGGCCGGAGGCCGCAGCTTTTGTTGGAGGTGACGCTGTTGGTGGCCCGCAGCCCGCCGCGCGAGTCAGGTGACAGGTGGGCTACGCGCTCCTGGCTGTCGTGTGACGCTTCTTTTGCACAAGCTTGCCTACCTCATCCTGCTTCAGGCTGACCTTGGAGAGGCTGGACATTCTTCCAGACGGGGAGTACGGCTCCCGGCCTCTGTTCGACGAAGAGCTGCATGTGACTGCTGTGAATCTTCATGGACAATCGTGAACACTGGCGAGTCAGCATCCGTGCCCTGTGTGAGGTGCATTTGTCCGCAGCTTCCGGAAGGTGCAGGCAGAAGCACCGCAACCTGCAAAGGGACGTCACTTGCACCGGAAGCTTTGTAGTTGCTTGCTGCATGAAGCATAGTGAAGCAAGAGTTGCCGACTCTCGCTGTTTCCGTCAAAGTAGTGGGTCAGTCATCACTTCACAAAGCCACAAAGCCATGTTGAGCCAGTTCGTGTTGCTAAGAGGTGCGGAGCATGCCGTCCACCTCAGCGGGGCCGTGTTTGGGGTTCCAGCGCGGCGCCGATGTGCGGTTCTCTCTTGGCGCCTTCTCAGAATCGCACTGCCGAGGTCCGAGCTCAAGACCCAGCAGAAGGCTGTAGTTTCGTGACCAAGTCAGCTCTAAGTCCCAAGTCAAGCCCTAGCGCAGATGGCACAGCCATTTGTTCTGCGAATGTGGGCCTGACAGATCCGGCAGCGCTGTCTTCCTTGGGGTGAGGTCCTCACTGGGTTTGGCAGTCATGTATGTATATATATATATTATATCATATTATACTATACTATATTATATTATATCATATTATATCATATTATATCATATTATATCATATTATATTATATCATATTGTATTATATCATATTATATTGCGGGCTGAGATGGTCCCCCCCCCTCTAAACCCGTCCTAAACCCATGGCGTCGCCGAGGTGCACCCAGGGCAGCAAGCAGAGGGAGGCCTCCAAGCCGCCACTACGCAATATAAAATAATATAATATAGTATGATATAAAATACTATAATATAATATAAATACTATAAATGATATAAATAGTTTAGTATAATATAAATAATATAGTATAAAATAACATATATAATATAAATAATATAACATATCATAATATCATATAATATATCATATATAATCTAATAGAATAGAATAGAGTATATAATATAATATATAATATATTATATAATATAATTTGATATAATATAATATTCAATAGAATATATTATGAGATAAAAAATCAATATAGAATATAAAGTAAAATACATACTATAATAGAGTATACATATATATATATATGTATATTCATACTGTTCTTCCGAGAATTTGAGTGGTTTGTGTTTCGAGGATTCTCCGGCCTCAACTTGGAAGCGCTTCCAGGAGCTCTTGTGTTCAGCCTTTGTTGCCCTTATGCAGTCGTGGCTAGCTTTTGCCGCTTGTGTGCCCACTCTCTGTTTGCGATCCCGGCAATTGTGCTTTTTGTTGTGTTTCCGGCATCTGTTTGTTTTGTTGCTCCTGTGCCTTTCTTCTTGGTACGCTGCTCTGGATGTCAACGTAGGAGCTCGAGGAAAGGGATCGAAGATTTAGGAACAAGTGCAGCCCTCAGGAATGTGATAATCGGGCAGGGCATATGCTGAATGCCTCTTCACATCGAGGTTTCAAACCATCGCCGAGTTTCAGCAGCAGCACCCTCGGCACTCAGAATCAAGTGTACAGTGTACCGACCGGCTATATTTGCAAATGGGAATGTCGGCCAACCCCAAACCCTAATCCCTAAACCCTAAACCCTAAACCCTAAACCCTGAACCAACCCCAAACCCTAAACCGTTCACAAGCAAGCTTGTGCTCCCAAGGCTTCATATGCCTTTTACACAGCCAAAAAGCATGCCTTTCAGACCCACCATAAGGACTGCACAGCCTAGGAAACACAACTTCGACGTCCAGCAAATATTTGGCACAAACACCATCAAAACGGCGTTGCCCCATGCTTCATCAAACTTGTGAATCTTTTTTCACGGAGAAATGTGTGCATAGATACATACACATACATATAGAAAAATAAGTAAATAGATAAATAAATAAACATATATATATATATATGTGTGGATATGTATGATGGAAGGCGGGGTCAAGGATGCTTCTGGCATGTCCTGCTCAACTGTGTTTGGCGAACAAGCCCTCCGTGCGCCACGTCTGCGCAGAAAGGGAAGCTTGCCAAGCTTGATTCGTCTTCTTTGCCAAGTGTTGTGCCGTGCTTTTGACGCGGTTGCGGATTCTACTGCTTGCCGAACTGCCCAGAGGCGAATAGGAACGGCAGGGAACCACACAATGACACTTCTTGCATGTGTGCTCGTGGTTGTTCGGCCCATTGTCGCGGCTTAGTTGTCCTGTGTGTGCAGTCGGTCCGAGTCATCCAAAACTTCCTGCGCAGGCCCTATTCTGGGTAGAAACAGTGCAGAAAAGCCGGTTTTGTGCGAGTGCTCATGTCCGGACCACATCGCAGGCACAAAGCGAGCACAGCCCATCTTCGTTACCCACACCCACCGCACTCTCGCTCTGTTTCTCTCTTGCACACAGAGAGCTGTCTAATTCGAATTCGGGGAGATTCGCGGAGCCGTTCGGGAAAGCTTTGCGCGCGGGTGCGTCCTGGAATCCTCGCAAAGAAAAGTTGCACAAGTAACAACATGTCATGAGTCGGACATGCTGAGGTCCTAATGCCTTTTGCAAATCAAGTGGTTGCTGCACAGAGGCACAGATGAAGCAACAGCGAGGATAAACCTGCAAAGGCACTGTGCAGGTACAGGTTCTCCCCCGATGCACCATATCCTGGTAGCGTCAGGTTGCTGACGCCCCTGCTGCGCAAAGGGTCGCAATCCGAGTCTCCTCATCACTCTACCACAACCCTTAGCTGAGAATCTGTGGTTCGCACACCCAAATTTCCTTGTGTGCAATTTCAGAATTTTTCGTGTACACATGCTCGGTTAAAAGCATGCCGGTCTTTCGCCCGGACGTGTTCCAAATGTCCATGAATAGCACAAGAGAGGCGAGACGAAATCTCTGGCTGTTTGCTGCGCTTTCGCCAAGGTTCGAGCGAACGCTTCAATGGTTTCGTGCGCACGACTGCACAGAGTGTTCTGCCCAGCACTGTTCATGCCGATGCCCATATTTCGAGGCATGTTCGGGCAAGCCATGCGTTTCCTGAGCTGCAGGAGCCATCGCCTAACCCACTCCTGCTTCAAAGGAGCTCAACGGTTCACGATGCGAACGATGCCTGCAAGTGGAGTCAACTTGCTTGTGCCGCCGAAGGACGCTCCGACTTCACGCAGACAGGCATGCTCGTACAGACCCTGGCATTGTTCTTTTTTCCCTGAGGCGACCGCTCCAGATAAGTGGAGTCTTGTCCAGGTCTTTGACACGGAGGAGGATCTCGAAGGGCTGAATAAGGCGAGAGTTTTCCCTTCGACTTGCATCTCAAACAGAAAAAACACAGTGCCTTTCGGAGGCCATCGCATGGCTCTACGACCGACGTATACCCGTGGTGTTGATGGAGCGACAGCCCGGGCCAAAGGAAAGTCATGTCACGGGATGCCCCTGGCTGCAAGATGTGAGCTGGGGGCAAGGACGCGCATCTTCCCGCTGATCTTCGACATGGACTTGAAGGTTACTTCACAGGACGTTTGGGGTCAGGGCATCGCAAGAAATGGGGGGGCTCAAGGAAGTCTTCGATCCACCCGGACTTTCAAGCATCATGGGCCTAGCCGCCCCGATACTTTCAGCAGGCCCTGCCGCCTAGTCGAGAATCAGGAGGATCAGCCACCCTCCTCCATCCGGATTTTGGCGGTGCTCGCCCCGAAGCTGAAACACTGTAGACTGGAGCCCAAAAGCGGATCGGATCCGCGATGGGAAGGTTGGTTTAGTTGCCTGCCATTTTGAATGTTTTGTCGCTTTGCCCTTGTCTGCTGCATGAATGCCCCAGGACATGCTCAACTCCGTGCCAATGCGCATAAAGCGTACGAGGTGGGCCCGATGCATGAACGTAAATCTGTCGGCTGTCGGTGCCCCGGGTTCCCAATGCTCAGCACAGAGTTTTCGGAAAAGCCACCTTTCAGTACATGGCAGGCCCTGGCGAGGTCGTGTCGATTTCTCACGCTGGCATGGCGCCGACCACTTCGTCCTCAGCAAGGAGATTCGAGTTCTTGATGATATGCGGCTCCATCATGCGTCGTTGCTTGATGGCGTTCTTTGTCATCCTTGTTGGGAGGACATGCTGTTGCTGCGGCATCTGGGCATGATTGTCTTCCAATTCTTTCCGGACCCTGCAGCCCCGGAACCCTGAAGTCCTTTGCATGTTCCTTGCATGTCGCAGGACCTTCCCCTCATAGACTTCTGCATCTTCAATGCATCGGGATGGGACAGAGTCAAGGATCTGGTCAAGGCTGAACATCTTAACGTCTTTTGCGCTGCAAGACCTGATCCGAAACCTTGAACCAAGCCGGCACCAGGTGTCCCTCCACCTCGTAGCTCCGTACGTGCCTGCCTCCCGGGTTTGGAGGATTGACATCACCTGAAGCCACATGTAGGGGCTCGGCCAGTCTGACGTTGCCTGTGCCCAAGGCTGGTCACACCTGATCGCCTGACTGCAATTCGCGAGAGGATGCTGGAGTACGCCGCTGGGCTTCCTTGCCTGTCAGCGCTTCGGAACCTTTGTGAGCAGGTATTTGGGTGAGTGCTCAGAAGTTGACGGGCATCCGCTCGCGGACCTGCTGCAAACCTATCTCGATGAGTCAGAGGAGCTGCGTTCAAACTCTGATTTCGTGTTGTGGCAATCATGGCGCAAGTGCTGCAGGACAACACTTGGGAGAAGGTCGTTGATCAAACTGTCACAAGCGGCACGAATGGTCTGCGCATGCCGTTGCTGCCTCATCGGAGAAAGCTGCTGCATTCTGTGCTTGGCATGCGACTGCTTTGGGATGCTCTTCGGCAAGCACCAGGTACTGCGACAAGGCCCAGCGGAGTCTGCAGCCCAGTCATTGCACACCGATGCCTGCACAGCTTGCACGATGAGGCCGCGAACAAGCTTGAGTACGGGTCGTAGTAACTGTAGTAGGGAGATGTAGAGTCTGTACGAGCTTTCAGAGAGCATGGCTCTTCGCCTTTGCCCAGTCCTGAAGAGAGAGTTCGTGGACCGCAAGCGCCGGGGAGAGGCCTGCTTTCTTGCTCCTGCAACCCCTCACTCCTCGCAGATGCGCGTGTGGCGCCAGCACCTGACAGCCTCTGACACAAGGGCACAAACTGCACATTCGATTTCATGAATGTAGGTCTTCACGGAGCGGCAGCTCATGGACCTCCATGCTTACCTTAAAGAGGAGGCCGGGGGCTCTGGTCTCAATGGCATGAGAAAATAACAGAACGCTCGCGCTCCCATGCGAAAGGCTGGTCGCCCTTGTCTTCCGGAGGGGATCTTGCGGCTTATCCCAGTTGCAGCTCTCAGACGATTTCTCCGTCAGCTACATTTAGGCATCGGGCATCGTTCGCTTCTGCAAGGCCAAGCATGCCGAGGATGAGAATGCGCTGCCGGAGGCACAGCGCAGCCATGCAAGTTGCGGTTGTTGTGCGTTGCGTATGGCAAACTTGTGGCATCTTGTGGCTGTCGGATCGTGTGAGCAGGCGAAGTGGATGTGCAAAGGGGATGACCTGCCGATCGACGAATGGATCCGTTTGGGAAGGCTCCGCTTGCCGAAGGAGACAGAAGAGGATGCCTTGCATGTTGGCACGCATCAGGTGCCGCTACGCCTGGCGCCTTCCGTTAGCGCCGCCAGGCATGATGGGGGCCATGGCAAGTGCCATGGGGCACTTGGGAGGAAGGAGAGTTCGATTCGGGAGGCCCAACGCCTTGGCGGCCTCCGCTTCGCTATCAGTGCGCCTCTCAGCGACCTTTCGTGAGCCTCTCTGTTGAGTGAGCACTCTCTGAAGTGTCACTTGACAGATGGGTGGAGCCAGTCCCGCTCTGGGAGGCGCACAGCGGATTGCAGCTCAAAGTGGAGTGTAAATGAGTGTTCATGTTTGTGTGATATGATGGCATTGCACATCACAAGTGTTTTCGGCAAGGATCGAACGCAATTGAAAGGCAGCCCTGTTGCGCATCTCCCAGTTGCCGTCGAGAGAATGCGCAGCGTAAGTTGGTGTGAATCTGGCACGTAAAAAGCTCGAAGCAGAAAGATGTTGTGACATTTGCAAAAGGTCCGCAAGTTCAGCGGCTCGGCTGCAGAGTTCCGCAGCAACTGGGAAGAGGCTTGGGCCTCAGCCTAAACCTCGAACCGGAGCCGTGGACATGCGCGGACGCCTCCGAAGCCCATGTGGCTTCTGCGACATCGGTGAAAAGATGTGCTAGGCGCTGAGCCGCTCTCCTACGCTTTCTGGACGCTGGCTCATCTCGAGTCTGGCTGCCAAGATCCGTTGATTCTGCCCTCTTCGACTGCAGTCTCGAACCTCCCAAGGCATCGACGCACGTTGGCGCGGTGGCCTGCAGGACGACTCCACACATGAGGCTCTGGGAATGTGGGAATGTCTGGAGTCTGGAGCCGAAGAGGGCCCTCCGTCTGACCTTGAGCGCCTCTCTCGTGCAGAGGGAAAGCCTGTTTCGAGCACTTGGCCGATTGCCAAACGTGGTGCCTCCGGTGAAGGTGCGCTACATCGTGCGAGCTTCGCGGGTGGTTCTGCTGCATGGCCCTGAGCTGTGTCATGCATGCCATGCGTGCCGTTCCCGTGTACTGCAGAGATCAGCTCAGAGGCTCTCTCCGGAAGTTGGGGCAGCTCTTGCTTTCACCGAGCAACTTGGCAGAATGCGATGACTGCGAGTTCGCCATCATGAGGCGTGCACCTATTGTTTAGCGCTCTGGTGGGATGTTTTCTCAGCTGTTCTCGCAAGACATGCCCTCTGTCCAGCAGCAGCTGAAACAGAATGGACGAATCTGTCGGAGTTGCCTTGACGTATGTATGTATATATGACACACATAACATGATATATATATATATATATGTATAATATATATATACATATACATCATATGTCATTACATCTCTTGTATTGTATCATCTTATATTGTACTATATTATACAAGCGAATGTTATATAAAATTCTTCTATATGATTCGCACAACTCAGGCTCCGGAAGGTGCTGGCTGGCTGGACAGAGCCCGACGACTTTCTGTGGCTCGGCGCATGCCCTCTGGTTGGGTAGGGTTTAGGGTGTATGCAAGACATCGTGCACATCCGATGATCCAGACGCACTTGACTTGTGGAGCCACTACGGTCAAGACTAAGATATGCATATGGGGATCACTGTCGGGCCTGTCTGTGGGCCTTCTTCGCTGATTTCCAGCCTTCAGATGGAGTTTAGGGTTTAGGTTTCGGGCTCAAAGCTGCAAGTTGCGCAGGGCGACCCAAACAGTCGGGCTGTTCGTCTGCCGAAAGCACGCGGTGGCACATCGTCCCACCCTCTTCGCAGCTCATCCCTGAAGCCAGAACTCTGCACCCACGGCTGAACAACCCGAAGCCTGCCTGAGGCCTAGGGACTGAAATGCAAACTCAATGCTCCCACCCATGTGATGCCTAAGCCGTCACAGTCTCAACCTGTACCCCTGGTAGCCTATGGTAAGTGGCCCATCGGCAGGCGCAGACTAAACAGCAACAAAAACCAGAAGGGGAAAGCAACCTCAAATCAGAGAAAACAGGAGTGCTCTGCACAGGTAATTAAAGAGGAATGGTGCTGGGCGCTTCGGGGGCGGAAAAGTGCTACACAACCCAGGTATGTCGGGCTTTTTGAGGCTGAATTTGAGACCGAACCCCCAGACCGTGTGTAATGTAATGAACCCCCAGACCATGTGTAATGTAATGTTCTACAATGCAATGTATGGTACTGCATTGCATTGCATGGTACGGTAGTGTATTGTTTTGGATTGTATTACATAGACAATATATTGCATAGTACGTTGGCCTTGGAGCGATGGATGGAGGGTTCGTAAACTCAGGGGGATAGAGGGGAGGGCTGGGAAGAGGGGAGGGGAGTGGAGTGAGAGGGGAGGAGGAATGGAGCCACAATGGCCAGAGGCTTCGGTGAACGCTCACCAAAATGTAAGACACGTGCTCGACTTTGCCATCTGTCAGGTGCGTACCGATATGCGGCTCCCCTTCTGATTCACACTCGTCAGCTGGATCCTGTGCTAAGCTGTGTGAGCTGCGGTTGAGACACTTAGCAGTTCAACTCTTCCTGCTAAGCGCTGAGGCATTGCACACGATCGTAGCACCATCGGCGGAGTTCCCAACCCTTCAGGCCCCGTTTTGTACAAGCCAAGCCTGGCAAGCTGATCATTGGTTTGCAGTCTTTCGAATAAGAATCCATGAGGGACATGTTTGACTTGATCTTGCCGGTCCTCTTGAGAAGTGGAAGTGGCCAGGCAGCTCTGAATGCTGTTCCGAGTGATGAGCCTCTACATCGTGCCAGCTCCCGAAGAGAAGTGCATGCGAGTGGAGAGCATGTCTGCTGTGCTCCCCGAACTTGCTTGGAGGTCTTGGTAAGGTGTGGAACGCACGAGCTCCCAGCCACACTGTCCGGAGCCTAGCGCCGAGAGTGCTCAAAGCAGAGGACTGAACACGAACTACACCTAAACCCTAAACCCTAAACCCTAAACCCTAAACCCTAAACCCTAAACCCTAAACCCTAAACCCTAAACCCTAAACCCTAAACCCTAAACCCTAAACCCTAAACCCTAAACCCCAGGTGCATCGAGCGGCCGGTCTTGCTGGAAGGGGAGGGCCGCTGGGAGACCACCCTCAGGACGCATCCCTCATCGTAGAATTGTCGCATTTTGTCATTGTGTTCTGTAACGTGGCTGCGCTGGAGCATCACGGACCACTTAGATGTGCAATTCGCAGGTTCCGCTGCCGCGAGAGTTCGCAACAGTTCGCAACATTGTACTGCGCAGCAGAACCCAGAGTCCCTTTGCAAAGGCCAAGCAGTTGTCACGCCAAAGTACGTTGACATTCTGGCTAGCACGCGCACCCATAGCCCCCTCCCCCCGCCCCTCCCCCCCCCCCCCACCCGCCCCTCACAACCATGGTTGCCATGGCGCGGGGCGCTCGTGCCCAGAGGAGATGCTCGCGCCTTTGGGGGCTGCTGCTTCCGCTGCTTCCGCTGCTGCCGCTGCTGGATCTGACCTTCAGCATGCCCAAACCCAAAGGCGCAGAGCGGGGTTTGGGGCAGACGCTGCTGGACATGGCCCTGGAGTCGCCGCTGTACAAGATGCTTCTTGTGCCACAGGCCCGGCGCACCATGGTGGACACCGCCGAGGCCAATGGCATTGGCTGGAGTTCGGCTTTGGAGTATATCCGCGGCCAGGGACCCTGGGATGACTCTGTGCTTCAAGGACTCTCGAGCTCAGATGGCTCGGATAACTCAGAGAGCTCAGCTCTTCCATCGCTTCCGTCCTATTATCAGAAGCCCTTCCATGCCTACGACACGGGGAACTTGAACTGGGAAGCAGCGTTTGAGCAAGAGCTTGCCAGCAGGGCTGTCGGTGCCCGAAACTTCCCGGCTTTCGGGAAGGACGGTGAGGATGCTTTTCGGGCTGCCTTTGACAATGCCTTAGATTCTCTGGGGGCAGTCGTCCCTGAAGGTGGCTTAATCGTAGATATGGGTTGTGGGACAGGGATCAGCACCCGGCGTTTAGCAGCACGTTTTCCCAGCGCATCGCAGCTGATAGGTTTAGACTTGTCGCCGTACTTCGTTGCTGTGGGCCAACGCTTGATGGAGCTGGAACCTCCAGCCGAGACTTGGGTGACGGACGTAGTTGCCGACCAGAGAGTCAAGCTTCAGGTGAAAGACGCAGAGCACACAGGCCTTCGGGATGAGTGTGCCTCGAACGTGAACCTCTGCCTCGTGATTCATGAACTGCCCCCTGACGTCACACGGCGCGTGTGTGCGGAAGCTTTGCGGCTACTGAAGCCAGGAGGACAGCTATGGATCACCGAAATGGACTTCTCTGCTCCGGGCTATGTGCAGCTGCGCTCAAACCCTCTGCTATTCGCCCTCATCCGCTCCACTGAGCCGTATCTGGATGAATATGCGGACTCAACTGAGAATCTTTTTCGGCATTTGGCAGAGCTAGACTCTGTCGCATCTGCAACTTGCCTGCGAACTGTGCAACTGTAGCTCCGGGTGGTTCGGGCAGCCACAAGTCTGGCAAAACTTACTTGTACCCTCGAACTCTCAAAAGCTAGCACAGGTGCGTCTGACGGCTGCCACCGGCCGACACTTTGCTGCGGTGGTCACGAAGGGCCCTGGAAAGGGGTCGACACTTGATGACCGCCGGTGGGATGAGCTTGGTGCCTTGGGCAGAAGGACGTGGAAGGGTGGCGATTCGAGGTTAGTGAGGACTGTAGGGCAGATCAGGCCTGTGGGAGTGACATTTTGACATGATTCCGCATGAAGCTGTGAAGCTTAGGCAACTACGCGACCTGGCAGGCATTCAGAGATCTTAAGTTTCCATAGTCTAGGCAGGCCCTAGGGGTGCTTTACATTTTCCCTTATTGGGTTAGGGTCACGGCAGCTTTGCTCACGGCCCAACCTATCAGACCTCCCGATTCCCTGCATGTCATCTCATGGATCCGATTGGACCTGAGGTTGTGGAAGATACGCACCTGCAGACCTGGGAAAGCAAGCTCTCCGACTGATGGGCTCCATCTTCTCCATCTTGCTCCATGGTGTGGCGCTGCTGAGAGTCGTCGGAAAAGTGGGCCAGGTTTGTGCGTCTTTTTCCGGCTGCAGACTGAAGCTTGCACAATCCGACTGCACCTCCTCGCAGGGCACAGAACAAGGCTGTCATTCGTCTTCAAGGGTCTCATCCTGAGCACCTCTTTTTACTTGTGCTGAGTGCCAAGCCCTGGTGTTTTGTTGTGGAGGCCAGGAGCTCACCGGGTGCGCCGACGAGCTTGTGCATGTAGGGGAAGCAGGAAGCTAGGCCCCTTCCAATACCAAAAGAGTTTGCTTCGGTGGAAAAAAAGCTTAGAACTTCATGTACTATCCTGGAAGTATTGGTTTTCGAAGCAAGCTGGAAGGAGGGTTTCGGCCGCGACAACCCGCAGCAGCAGCAGCAGCAGCAGCAGCAGGAGGAGGAGGAGGAGGCGGAGGAGGAGGAGGAGGAGGAGGATGAGGAGGAGGACGACGACGACGAGGAGGAGGAGGAGGCGGAGGAGGAGGAGGAGGAGGAGGAGGAGGAGGAGGAGGAGGAGGAGGAGGAGGAGGAGGAGGAGGAGGTCGCAGAGTCGTAGTAGTTGTAGTCGTAGTAGTTGTAGTCGTCGTCGCAGTAGTAGTAGTCGTAGTCGTAGTAGGAGTAGGAGTAGGAGTAGGAGTAGGAGGAAGAGGTACCAGCAGCAGCAGCCGGGGGGAGGAGGACGTGAGAAGGAAGAGGGGGGAGTGAACAGTGATAATGCTTGTGCACCGATGCGGCTGTTGGGCAGCTGCGGTGTTTGCTGCAAGGCAATGGTGCGCAATCTTCGTGTTGAAGTCTATGGAAATGGACAAGGCCGAACCTAGAGGGTCTCAGCAACAGGTCACATGCTCAATGCGGTTTTCAGTTCAGCTTGCCTGGCTAGTGCTGGTGAACTAGGTGGGGCGGCTGTGGAGATGGATGGCACTGAGGCTGGGCTTGTCTTCTCGACACGGCCATTGCATCTGTTTGTGAAACTAATTTGCCAGGGTGAGGCAGCCGTCGTTGGTTGTCACTTGGCAGCCGAAGGTCGGGGCCTCTTTCAGTTCAACCAATGGCTGGTAGACGCGGCATGTTTGCCATGAGGTACCTGGGGCACCTGCGTGTGGGCGCGGGGTGGCTCGCCCCAGATTGTGGCTTGACTTGCAAGCAGATGCGGGCCGAGTTTATGGAGGCATGTAGCCCTGTCCAGCGTATGCTGTAGATCCTGAAAGCTCATCAGTCCTGGTGTTTTCCTTGAGTATGATCCGGGTCGTGTGTACACTGTGCTTGTCTGTTGTGGACAGGCCCCTCAAGCCCCCCTAAACTTAACGGGGCTATCATCGGCCACGGCCCAGGCAGACGAGGATGTAGGTATGGGTGCGGAGTGTAGGATTCAGGTTTTTGCTTGTAACGAAGGACAGCAGCAACAGCAACACCAACAAACGCAACACGTGCAACACATACACAACATCAACACATGTATCAAATTCAACATCAACCACGACAGCATTTTGCTCAGGTGCGGAACTTTGTTGCGCGTGCTCGATGGGGTGTGGCCAGGCCCTGAGGCTTTGAGCTTCAGGACCCATGCATGTCGACATCTGCTTCGTGACGTTTGTGAGATACTCAGATGCTCGTACACGAAGAGCAGCTTCGTGAAGAATGGGGGGTTTGGCAAAGGTACTCATTGGCACCGGCGGCCGTGTCGAGGACAACAGCATCCGCGGTCTCGGTGAAGCGGTACGCCCATGCACCCGTTGGGAATTGATGCTGACACAAACATTTAAGCTTGTTGGTCGCTGTCTAGACCTTGCAGTATGCGCAGGGCCTGGTGCTTGTCGGTGGCAGCACGTGGGTCCGGAGCTGACCTGGGGGACTTTCGATTCGTTTCTATGATTAAGGTGGTGAGCAGTCACCATGCTTGTGCGCAGCGCATTGCGGCCTCACGCATGGTTGTGAAGAAGGATTCTTGATGAGCTTTCTGCAGGCGTCTTGCTTCCAAGGATGAACACTTACAAACCTTGGAGATCCGAATGAAGCTGAGGATCCCTTCACTTAACTTTCGTTCTTCTGAGAAGAGAAGACGCTTGTACGTGTGTCTTGCTTGTGCGAAGCGCGTTGCGGCCTCATGCATGCTTGTGCAGGAGGATTCTTGACGAGCTTTCTGTAGGCGTCTTGCTTCCAAGGATGAACACTTACAAACCTTGGAGATCCGAATGAAGCTGAGGATCCCTTTACTTAACTTTCGTTCTTCTGAGAAGCTGGCAGAGAAGAAGCTTGTACGCGTGTCTTGCTTGTGCGCAGCGCATTGCGGCCTCATGCATGCGTGTGAAGGAGGATTCTTGACGAGCTTTCTGTAGGCGTCTTGCTTCCAAGGAAGAACACTTACAAACCTTGGAGATCCGAATGAAGCTGAGGATCCCTTCACTTAACTTTCGTTCTTCTGAGAAGCTGGCAAGAGAAAACGCTTGTACGCGTGACTTGCCTGTGCGCAGCGCATTGCGGCCTCATGCATGCTTGTGCAGGAGGATTCTTGACGAGCTTTCCGTAGGCGTCTTGCTTCCAAGGATGAACACTTACAAACCTTGGAGATCCGAATGAAGCTGAGGATCCCTTTACTTAACTTTCGTTCTTCTGAGAAGCTGGCAGAAGAAGCTTGTACGCGTGTCTTGCTTGTGCGCAGCGCGTTGCGGCCTCACGCATGGTTGTGAAGGAGGATTCTTGACGAGCTTTCTGTAGGCATCTTGCTTCCAAGCATGAACACTTACAAACCCTGGAGATCCGAACGAAGCTGAGGATCCCTTCACTTAACTTTCGTTCTTCTGAGAAGCTGGCAGAAGAAGCTTGTATGCGTGTCTTGCCTGTGCGCAGCGCATTGCGGCCTCACGCATGGTTGTGAAGAAGGATTCTTGATGAGCTTTCTGCAGGCGTCTTGCTTCCAAGGATGAACACTTACAAACCTTGGAGATCCGAATGAAGCTGAGGATCCCTTCACTTAACTTTCGTTCTTCTGAGAAGGTGGCAGAGAAGAAGCTTGTACGCGTGTCTTGCTTGTGCGAAGCGCATTGCGGCCTCATGCATGCGTGTGAAGGAGGATTCTTGACGAGCTTTCTGTAGGCGTCTTGCTTCCAAGGAAGAACACTTACAAACCTTGGAGATCCGAACGAAGCTGAGGATCCCTTTACTTAACTTTCGTTCTTCTGAGAAGCTGGCAGAAGAAGCTTGTAGGCGTGTCTTGCTTGTGCGCAGCGCATTGCGGCCTCATGCATGCTTGTGCAGGAGGATTCTTGACGAGCTTTCCGTAGGCGTCTTGCTTCCAAGGATGAACACTTACAAACCTTGGAGATCCGAATGAAGCTGAGGATCCCTTTACTTAACTTTCGTTCTTCTGAGAAGCTGGCAGAAGAAGCTTGTACGCGTGTCTTGCTTGTGCGCAGCGCGTTGCGGCCTCACGCATGGTTGTGAAGGAGGATTCTTGACGAGCTTTCTGTAGGCATCTTGCTTCCAAGGATGAACACTTACAAACCTTGGAGATCCGAATGAAGCTGAGGATCCCTTCACTTAACTTTCGTTCTTCTGAGAAGCTGGCAGAGACGACGCTTGTGTCTTGCTTGTGCGCAGCGCATTGCGGCCTCATGCATGCGTGTGAAGGAGGATTCTTGACGAGCTTTCTGTAGGCGTCTTGCTTCCAAGGATGAACACTTACAAACCTTGGAGATCCGAATGAAGCTGAGGATCCCTTTACTTAACTTTCGTTCTTCTGAGAAGCTGGCAGAAGAAGCTTGTACGCGTGTCTAGGGATGAACACTTACAAACCTTGGAGATCCGAGTTGTTTCTGAGGATCCTTTCATGATAGAGTTTTGCACGAGGGCCTTTTTCGTGGGTCCTAAGGTTCACCGAAACCACATCGCTGATTGTGGAGGCTTAGCTGATTTGATCATGCCGGACAAGGCAAGGAGCACGTGTGCCCGGTAGGTCCGGCTATCCTGGCCGCCATGGACTGCCGGGCGGTGTTGCAGGAGCACTTGCCAGTCAAGACGAGCTCTTTTGATGAAGATCGCTTGCTGACATGACGCTGCCTGCTCGAGAGGAGAACGACATCCGGGAGTGCCTCTCTGGCGTGCGCATCATCGGGAAGCAGTCGGCGTGCTCCTCACATTGTGAGTATCCAGATCCCACAGAGGGCTCCACTGCTGCCCACTGTACCTCGATCCTGCAGGAAATCCAGATGCGCACCGGAAATCGCCTCCTACACAACGGCCTCTGCGATGAGCACCAGGTCGAGGTGAGCCTTAGCAATCCCCTTGCTGTGCGTCGCTTGCGTTTTTTGCTTTGCGTTTCTCTTGTGTGCCTTTTGTGTGTTGTGGCCTAACTTGGCCACCTCGGCCCTTGAGTCAGGCGCCGCCGGGCGTAGGGCCAGCATGATTCTGATTAAGCTTCAAGTTGGTTCAAGCTTTTCTTCCCCGAAAAAAGGCTGTTGGTATGGCCAGTGTAAGCCAGGTCATTCCCAGCGGAGCAACGTCCACAGCCTGCAGCCAAGTAATTTTGCCCCTTACACTTCCAGGTGGCCATGTCCGTTCTTTCGTCGATTCTGGGAAGCCTTGGGGGGTCGTTTTCAGGTTCGCAGCTGTCGGCCCTTCTCGTTTCTGCCGTGGTCTTGGTTGCGCTCGAGCTTCGCCGTTCGCTGTCATGGGCTGAGACGAGGCCAAAGGACACGCAGGAGCTGCTGAAGCGCATGCGAACCTGTCGAGAGCATGCAGAGCTTGCGACTCTGCCCAGATATGGTGTTGGGTTCTGACAAGCATCATGACATCATGTCAAGACTTGATATTCTTGATGGCAACTACTCGTCACATTCTGGTTCTCAATTGCTGGTACTTCACAGCGTTCTCCGTGGCTCTACCGGGACTCTACCGAGGCGATTCTCATGCGATCCGCACGTCGAAGAGGCCTGCTGGCACAGGCGAGGTTTCTGGGATGTTTGTGTGGCGCCTTTCTTGGCTGTTGCCTGGCCCGGCATCCGAGGGGCGGTTCGCATCCGCAGCTGCAGGCGTACCACGCCAACCGCCGTCTGACCAAGCTTCGCAAGGTGTGGGCCTTGTGATGGTAGAGGTACCTTTGCAGTCGGCCTCTTGCTCTTGATGCGCATGGCATCAGGCGGCGCATAAGGCACCTGCTCCAAGGGCTCCGCCTGCAAAGAGGGAGATTGTGGTGGTCGGCAAGGCACTGGGACGTTGCAACACTCCGATCTGCCTCTTCAAGCAAAAACCCAGCACGTTCAGGCAGGCAAAGGCACTGACAGCCCCAAGCCTAAACCCCAACCTTCCCCTATGCCCTGAACCCTAAGCTGCCCTAAACCCTAAATACCCCTAAGCCACCCTAAACCCGAAAAAATACCCCTAAACCCTAAACGGCCCTAAGCCCAAAACTTCCTTCAGCAGGCCTGGGACGGTCCCGGCTTGGGGTTCGGAGAGCAGTGCATCTCCGTGTTGCCGGGGGAGCTCTGTGAGGCTCCGCTTGTGCATGGTCTGCATGGTCGATTCTCCGCATATCCCTGAGCCCAAAACCCTTTGAACCACAAACCTTGAACATAAAATCGTATGACGCGCCCAAACAAGTGTTTGCTCTGCAAAGCGCCAGACTGCGAGGTCCTTCGCCGTGATGCAAGCGGATGGATTCTGCTGTCGACGTGCATACCTCAGGTGCCTTCAGCTCTCTGGATCGTCCACAAGTAACCAGTGTATTCGGTTTGCACAGGCAGATAAATTTCCAGTTGAAAGACTGTTTGGAGTCAGAAGATTTCAGCAACACTCACTGTCACCAGCAAGGTCACGACATTCTCGTGGCTGGTGGCCCCTGCTACTTAGTTGACCTTCTGCTTTGCCTTGTAATACTTGCAGTGTCACAAGCCCTGCTGCAAGTGTTTCATTCGGCTTCCGCCAGGTGCAGCCCGCATGTCTTGGGCTGATCAGTTGGTGGCGCTCCTGAATTCCCACGCCTGACCTCCTTGGATGACGCAGCTCCGGAGACCTGTGGCGACTTGAAGACCCGAAGGCTTGAAGAACCAGGTGACAGTCACCGGACTGGGCACTGGAGGACTCCAGGAAGCCGATGGGTCTGCGGTGGAGCGAGGCGAGCACTTCTCTTGAAAGCCATGGACTTGTCGCCGCACGGTGCCGGTTCGCAACACATGCCGGACGAGATCAGCAATCAACCTGGGCAGAGGTAAAGGCCACTTTGCTTCTCCCGTTCGTGATCCACTACACGTGTGTAGATAGCGGGTCAGCATGTGCAGTGCTTCGCAGCAGAAGAGCGAGGCCAAGTCTTCCAGCTTATTGTAGGGCATACAGCTGTTTCGGGCAAAATCAAGCCTGGTCCTGGCAGCTCTTCGAAAAGCCTGCGCCGACACTCCCAGAGCCAAAGATCTTCCAGAAGACACGACACTTGAGAAAACTCGTTCCCCCCCCCAAAGGCCGGGAGACCCGAGTCTTGGCTCAGAACTTTGCAACACATTGCAACACGTAAATTATTCGGTGCACATCGAGTGGGCATGTGGATCTCCCAGCCGACGTGGCCCGTGGCAGTAAGGAAGAACCCCTTCGTGCTTGTAGAAGGCGGTTTGCATGCTGCCTCTGTAGTCACTATGGCACCGGATGGCACCGATGAGACTCAACCAAAGAGTGCCAGGCCCAGCGTGATTCATGGAGTTTCTTGGTGCCAGAGCGCAGAACCTGGCTGAGGTTGTACTTGCGTCGGCATTCGAAGTTGTGCCCTTTGCCAAGATCCGGCTTTCAGGAAGGTGCCCGGAGGGTTTCGTCAGTGAGCCTGGATAAACTTGAGCGATGCTTTGGTCATCCGGTCAGCCATGTCAGGCGCATGGCCTGCACCCTGTCCGGGCTGAGTCACCCCGCCTGTTTACGTGGATGTTAACCCGGGTACAGTGTGCTTGACATTTCCTGAGGGCAGGAGTCAAGAGGATTTGCGGCAGGCTGCCAGCATGCAGGGCGATTTTCGATCTGGAGGAAGCAACCTGCAAAGGCATGGCCCAGCTAAAGGTATCATGATGCCGGATGCGGGATTGTTCTGCATTGGGGTGCCCTGGTTGTTACGTTCGTTTAGAGCAGCAGAACTCATTTGGTTCCACAGCAGGGGCCCTAAGTTTGAACAATCCCTCATGCGACTTGCAACGTTTGATTGCCAGACCGCCGGATGGCAAGCCTGTGTGCAGGCTTGTTTTCATATCTTTTAACTGACCCTGTGCCCATGATCTTGCTTGCTCGCTTACTGCCTGTCGCAGGAGAAAGCTACAGACATGTGCACAAGACAAGTTCAGAAAGGGAAATGCCGAACCAACATAGGATGTGACGTCTGTGGTGCCATCATGCGTGTTCACTGTACAGTGCAGTCGAGCCCAAGAGCAACATAGTGTGTCGATGCATCCAACAAGCAAGCGCCAAGCAGCACACAAAACAGTCCTTAGCCAGCCTACCAAGCAGTATCACACAGTTCTTCAGAGTAGAAGAGCACAGGGTTGCGACCACATTGCAAGCCATGTCGCCGGAGTCTAGGGGGCAAACCGGGCGGACCAGAGCTTGCAGAACCTGATAGTTTTGTCGTTATGACGCCTCGTCCATACTCAGGTCAATTTTCTTCGATAACCACCTTCCCCTCAGCGACGCCTCGCGCGATGCTGAGCAAGAGGACACAGGCGTCCCGTGCATTTGTATGCAGTACCAGCGGCCTACCCACCACCCAGCATCGCAGAAGTGCTGGCAGTACGATATCGACACGTTTCCACGAAGCTTGGGAGTCCCACAGAGCATAAAATTAATAATTGTAGTACCAGTCATCATAACAACAATAATGATAATAATCATGGTGATCTGAGGTCTGTTCGCTGCATCGCTTGGAGTTGGGGCGAGGACCCAAAGAGCCTGCGGATGTTGAGTTTCGCTGGACCTGCAATGACCTGCTCTTTCAGATTGCGGGAGCTGGGTTGCAGGACTCGCCGCTGCTGGCAGTCGCTGAAGGCAGCAATCTCCGAATATTTCGTGAAGAAGGCCGGGGATGCAGGTCTGATCGTGTACATAACATTTGACATTGATTTAGGTCTAGGTCTAGGCATAGGTATAGCACATATTTAGATATAGCCTATATGTCTACATATACATATGTATATATATATATCTATATCTATATCTATCTATCTATCTATCTATATATATATATATACGTGTATATATATATATGTATATGTATATGTATATATATATATATATATCTATATATATATATATATATATGTGTGTATATATATATATGAGTCCATACATCCGATACGTTTGAAAAGCTGAAGATGCCACTCTGCTCTATAGAGGCCTTCTGCGACAGCCCGCACCCCTCCCCGCCGCTTGTTCGGGCTCAAGAGCGGTTCTTCCGAGTATTCCGAGCATAAGCAGACCTGGCACGGAAGCCCACCCCAAAAACATGAAACAAAACACAAGACCACGGGCCAAAACCTCCAAGCAAAGGGCCTCCCTCTCACCTCCCACGAACCGCTCACAAACTTGAAGGAAGGCCTGTGCTTTAGTGTGTGTCAGCAAGCCGGCCGTCCCCAAGATGGCTGCCTGCACCCATGCTCCGTGCAGCACTCAGGGGTGACAATTCTTTTTCGTTTGGAGGGTTTGGAGGGTTTGACGGGGTCCCAGGGTTTTGGACTCGGGCTTGGTTTTTTGGGGCCCTTAGAGTTCAGAATCGTGTGTTCACGTGCCTGCAGGCAATGAAGCTGGCAAGAGCACATGCCAACATGAGTTGAATGCACAACGCGGCAAGGCAGACTTGGTGTTAGGCAGACGTGAGGATGGCTCTGACAGTGACAACAGTGACGACAGTGACAACAGTGACGGCCATGACGGACGGATATAGCGGCGGCGACGGCGAAGAGCATTCGCGTGCGGTAGTGGCAGAATGTGACATCGTTGGGGGTCGTCAAGAAATGTCAAGAACCCACCACGTACCAAGAGAATAATAGTGCTTTTGCGAGAACGCATTGGGGATTCTCCCTGAGCAGCTTCGTCGGGTATTGCTGACTCTGCGGCGAGAGGCTGAAGAACTAATGCTGCTGGTTTGACCCTAGAAGGCCCTAAACCCCCAAACCCCAGAACCTCAGAACCCCAGAACCCCAAAATACCTCTAAACCCCTAAACCCCTACTACACCCTTCTGCTTTGGCTTTCAGGCAAGGGAGATCTCCGAAGACACGCTTTGCCCTGGCTGTGCTGATGATCGTTTGCTGGCACGTGGGCTGGTTCTGCGCTCAGCGTGACATCGGCTCTTTGCTTCCTCAATTGGAGTTTCCGACAACAGGGGACCCTCAAGAAGGCCCCATAATCGTAGGATCCCCTCATGATAAGGACCCCAAAAGGGCACCCCCTAATATCTTTAACTCCCATATGTGTTTAGAGAATTTAGGTCGATTTTGGGGGTTTGGCTGCTTTTGGATCTTATATCCAGATTTCGGAATCGCTTTAGGGGTGTCATGCGTCAGACTGTGCAAGTTGCAAGGCCTTCGGTGAGCGCTTTCCTCCCCGGGATTCAGGCAGGATGACTGGCTTCAATTTTCGTCCGGTAGAGGAACACGGTTCCTGGAGCTCCGCAGGGAAGACGAGCAGCGATGCAAGCTGCACTGATTGGCCTGGCACCACAAGTCGCCAAAGCCGAGGCCATGCTCCCTTCCAGACAGCTCTCAGGTTGCGTGCGCTCGTGAGCTCAGGCGGAAGGGGTTCCCGCAAAGAAGGGCGGCAGGGCATCCAAGCTGGGGGCCTGAGAGTTCTCGGCGATGTCTGCCGATTGTGTGCGAGGGTCTGCATGAGTCTACACAGTTTTGACACGCAGGTTACAACATGTAAGTGTCAGTTTGTGTGTGTGTCTTGACAGAGCCGGGCCGAGGTGGTACGGGATCTACGAGGACCCAAAGCACGGCGCATGCGAGCGTTCCGTCGTCATCGCCTTCGACGGCACCAAGGGCTTTCAGACTTAACTCAGACAAAAACTTGGGGAACACAGGGCTTCATGAGTTCATGGCCGCGCATAGCCTTAGCTCTTCTAGCCTGCTGAGGAAAGATTGATGGCTTCGACAAGTCCGGGGCCGGAGATGAGGGCAAGTTCGACTGCCGAAAGCGGAGGGACGTACAATACTACGTGGCGTGTCTGACACAGGGAGAAGTTGCATGATGCGGCACATGCATGTTTATGTCTGCGCTCCGACAGAGCCGGCTGGAAGTTTTTGGCTTTGGAGTTAGAGGTTGCCTTCTCACTCTCTCTCTCTCTGTCACTCGCTTTTTCGCTCTCTTTCTCGCTCTCTCTCTCTCTCTCTCTCTCTCGCGCTCTCTATCTCTTTCTCGCTTGCTCGCTCGCTCTCTATCTCTCTCCCTCGCTCTCTCTCGCTCTCTCTCTCTCTCTTTTTCGCTCTCTTTCTCGCTCTCTCTCTCTCTCTTCTCTCTCTGCATCGTTCAAACTCAGAGATTGGCGCAATTTCTTCGCTCTGCTTCGCTCTGCTTCGCTCTGCTTCGCTCTGCTTCGCTCTGCTTCGCTCTGCTTCGCTCTGCTTCGCTCTGCTTCGCTCTGCTTCGCTCTGCTTCGCTCTGCTTCGCTCTGCTTCTCTCATTCTGTTGAGGACTGGACGCTGAAGGTGAGCCTGGCCAACAAGGATGCCGACGAGATCGTTGTTCAAGAAGCCGGCAGGGATGTCGTGGACCGGAAGCTCATCAGCCAACCACGGGAGGTCGTTGGCAAGTGGGATGGCGATGGGATCGTCTGGCCCGATGGAACCAAGTGGGTCCAGAAGAAATGGGAGCGATGAGATGGAGCCTCCCAGCCAAGGCACCTTTTCGCTGAGCCGCATTTGTGCTCCTGACAGTTTTCGCGGCCTTTCCGACCACCGCACTAAAGCACCTGAGAAGGGGAGCCCGTAGAGATAGAGAGCTTACCGACGAAAAAGCAGTTCCTGCTTGCAGCTGAGAATCGCCCAGGGTTGCCTAGGCGCGAGCAAGCGCTGATGAAGGCTGTGTAAAGCACGGTGCCAGGCGAAGAGCTTCAAGACTTTTGCCAAACAAGACCAGTGCAGCACCGAACCTCAGAGGATGTCAGAGGATCAGAGCGGATGTTGTGCAGACTGGCCTTTGTCTTCAACATCCACCGATATCCAAGCCCATCATTTAATTATTATATTCATGGCTGTGAGTCGGCATCTGGCCTTTTTTTGCCTCTTCCAAAAGAGTTCAAAGGTGTACAGCCCTTGCCTGGCACCCTCATTCCAAGGCGGAAGCCGCTTGAGTTCTACGGTGCCTTTTGAGGCTGCCTTGAGGCTGCCTAGAGGTTGCTGTCAGCTTCGGCAGGTGCTTGCTGCAGGCTGGGAGGATGGCCGGGACCTCGGGGTGCAGCAAAGGCGGCTAACAAAAAGTTTCTTCCGCATGCGCGCCTTCGCGTGGCGCGGCCCTCTGCTGCCGGATGTTGCTGGTGCCTGCGAGTGCCTGCGAGGCGCGGTGACATTTAGCGGCCCTGCCTGCAGCAGCGCACGAGATGATCGGGAGGTGTCTCGGAATTCAAAGGATGCCTCTGAAATCTCTGCTACACCTTGCGGGAATGGTCAACCTCGACCTCGCAGACTTGCGGAGGCCCGTGCCTCTTCTTAGCTCGGCTTTGCCCAGGTCCACAGAGACTCAAGGATCATGAGCATCGTTTTCAATCCGCACGGGAGCAGATGCGCAAGGGCCTTGATCTTGACAGCTTGCGGCCAGGCGTTGGTGACTCTCTGATTGCTTCAGGTGACCACTGACAACAATGGCGTTGTCGGAGTCTGGAAGACCGACATGCGAGGTTTGTGCAATCAGATGTGCCACTACAGGAGCCTCGGTCGATCTTCTGCAGTTGCAGTTGCAGGGAGGGCCATCATGGAGGTTAGCTGACAGGGAGTGAAGACGAGCACTTCTCGGAAGGAAGACCGGCGCGCATGATAAAGTGATCTTCCGAACCATGACGCCATCAGGCGTGGTGTGTTTGAGTACAGACTGTCCATGGGCCCGACATGCTGCTTGTGTGGATGGATCAGGCGAGCCGAACCTGGACAACCCGCCCTTCTTCTTCGGCGGAGAACAAGGCTGCAATGTTGCAAAATGTTCCGAACCCTAAAGCCCTAAACCCTATCAGCCTTAAACCCTAAAACCCTAAACCCTAGAAAGCCTTAAACCCTAAAACCCATCTTGGACAACCAAGAGGCATCATCTATCTGGCCGATGACTTCGGTCTCTGCTCCGAACGCTACAAGATCGGTTCCCCGCTGCTGTTGTTGGAGTACTATCGCGAGAAGGCTGGGCCAACTTGTGAGCTGTGCCTCCGCTTTGGAGGCTGTAGGGTTTAGGGTTTTATATTCTGGGTTTATGTGGGTCCATATGGGTTTATCTGGGTTTATTGGGTTTATATGGGTTTATAGAGGGTTCATTATAGGGTTTATGGGGTTTAGGGTTAGGGTAAGCCAATGCCCTCCCAAGGATGTGGTTGTCCTGGTCACGACAAGTGTGATCCTGGTCCAGTTCTCGCTGTCTGCCGATGGCAAGGCTGCTTGGCGAAGAAGCCTCGGCCTTCAACGAAACCCCCCCACCCCCCCATACGTTGAACCCCCCGAAAACTGCTGAGAGCCCAAAGCTCCACGAGTTCTTGGGTCTAGGGCGGGCTCCAAACCCCACAAACCCCCAAAAACCCTCTACCCTAAACCCTAAACCCTAAACCCTAAACCCTAAACCCTAAACCCTAAACCCTAAACCCTAAACCCTAAACCCTAAACCCCAAACCCTAAACCCTAAACCCCCCAACCCCCCCCCCCGTCGGGAGGTCTCCAACGAGTCCAAGCTGAAGCTCTCGTGCGGGCCGAGCCCGGAGAAACTCCAGGGATGCTGGGCCCGGAGCCTGAGGGATGCTGCACATCAGGAACATCTGGGTTTAGGGTTTAGGGTTTAGGGTTTAGGGTTTAGGGTTTAGGGTTTAGGGGTTTAGGGTTTAGGGTTCAGGGTTTGGGGTTCTGCATACATCTGCAAAAGCCCAAAAGAACGAGCCAACTCCCCGACTCGCGTTGGGAGAGCCTTCTTGGTATCCTTTGCCTTCCTCTGGGCTTTCCAAGAAACCCCAAACCCCAAACCCCAAACCCCAAACCCTAAACCCTAAACCCTAAACCCTAAACCCTAAACCCTAAACCCCAAACCCTAAACTGGGCCCCGCAAGTTTTGCATCCTTTGCCCAGTCGCTGTTTGGGCCCAAGAGTTGCCCAAGCCTCGCGGCGATTCGTGGCCTGCGAGAGGGTTCCGAGGCCGGGCTCGTGGTTTAGGGTTTAGGGTTTAGGGTTTAGGATTTAGGGTTTAGGGTTTAGGGTTTAGGGTTTAGGGTCGATTTGGGTGTGTTGAAGGGCTTGTGGGGGTTTATCGGCTTTTGACCGTGTGGTTGTCTGATGTCGTCTGTGTACGTGCGAGTCACGGTGAGTGTGGGTCGCAGTGAGTGGGAGCTGCTGTGGGTGCGAATGCGAGTGTGAGCGTGAGTACGCAAATGTCCTTCTCTCCCTCTCTCTCTCTCTCTGTGTCTGTGTGTGAGGCCCAGCTGAAGCCCAGCAGGCATAGCTGGTCCAGCTTCCGAGCACCGCGTGTGCCCGGATGCATGACAGAGGATGCGCCAAGCAAGGCAGCTGATGATGCCGCCGTGACGGTCGTGACAGACGATGACCTACAACTTGCGGTGCCTGCATATCCAGATCATGCGCACGACTGGGAAGAAACGATTTCTGAAGGGGATGAGGTTGGGAAGGCCAGGCGTGTTGACTAGCATTCCTTGTAGATTGTTGAACACTCAGTGGCAGTGGCAGTGGTGCGCATGAAGGAGTCAAGCATCGTGGCCGAGTGCCTTGGCTGCGGCGGCTCTCTGTTTTGAAGTAGAGCTTGTTGAACACTCAAAAGTAATCTCGTGCAGCACATCTCTCTTGATGGCCTGCCCGGGCTATCACATGGGGGACATCAGCTTCCCCGAAGGTACTTTCCCGGAAATCTGGACGAGACGCCGTCCAGCGACGGCCCCAGTCTGAAGGTGCAAAAAGAGCAGAGGCACACATTGTCACCTTGTGTGCTGCAGGCAAAGTTAAACACAACAGAAGGTGCGATTTTTTTGCCCCTTTTTCAAGGAACTGGGTATCTCACGGAGCGCTCTGACCGGTTCTCCATGCTGTCCGTTGCAGGAACGATACGCTGCTTTTTGCTGGGGTTCGAAACAATGTCCTAAGTGTCAAGAAGTGTCACTAAGCACAAGGGCTGCTTGAGCAATTTGTGAGATGCGGGGTCAGGCGACGCTGCCATGCCAGAATCTTTGCCACTCCTTCTGGTCCTGCCTCTTCGCGGCAGCGTAGCAGATGTAGCAGCGGCATCTGAGAGCCGGGTGTGCTGGGGCTGAGTTCTCTTTCAGGTTTGCGTCCCTGATCGCTGCACTCTTGGGAGCTCTTGTTGCCGGTCTCCATACCATGATCAAGTACGTTGGCTGTCCACTTGGCACCAATGGCTGCAACAGCTTCTCAGGCGCCGATCTGCTGCGCAGACAGTTTGTTTGGCATCTGCCTACGTCAATCCGGCGCCAGGCTATGAGTATGCCAAGAAAGGCTTTCTGCTAGTCAATGCCATGGATGGATACATTCCAGAAGCTGGAGTCAACGTGCTGATGGCGATGACCTGCATGCTTGTGCGGCCCTCAAGTTGAGGAAGCAACAAAAGGGGGCGAGTTGTGATGCGTGGTGTCCCCTTCTGGAAGAAGATCTGATGCTGCAGCTTCCTGCAGCGCTCCTAGTTTAACCGCTTGTGTGCTCAAGGCGATTGGCGTGATCGTCGAAGTGCTCCCTGAGAAATCTGGCCTGGGAAAACAGGTGCGCATGCGATATCTGCTTCTTTTCGGTCGCTGGCTGACCTTGGCACGTCCCGGTTCTTGGGACGACTAGTCAAGAGATTGCCGGGTCATGGCGCATCGAGATTGGGCCATGGTGTATGGTGTTGCGTTGTGTGAAAGGTGCAGAAGTATGCGCGAAGTGTCGGTGCAGCCTGGCTGCTTTGCAGGTACTTGGG